TTTTTGGAACTTTAAGTTGAATCTAGAATTATAATATAACTTATATTATTGAAAATATAAAAAGTAAAATGAATAACATACATGCGAATATACATACATCAGTAGTATTGAGTAAAAGAGATTTTGATTGATTTCTTTTATACAATTCAACTGCATTTGCTCCTCCAAATGTGGTATTTCCACTATAGAAAGGAGATGATAAACCAGATGTACGGTCCAATGTGCTAGTCATGACAGACGCATTAAAACTTGGTCTATGACTGCTTACAGTCTCACGGGAATTGTTATCTATAAACAACAATGCTCTTGGTGATTGTAAATGATTAGCTGAAATAAAAACATAACTTAAGTTTCTATGTACCATCAAAATAGTAATTAATGGAATTAATAGGAAATATAAATTACTCTTACTAAATGTTAATTTCTCATCTATAAAACGCTTCCTGTTAGCAAATGGTGAATTGTAAACGTCGTGAGAAGGAGCTTCTTGTCGATTTGTTTGCGGTATAAGAGAACTGCAACCACTAGTGCTCTCGCTCGATTCTGAGTTATCATCCGTTCCATTAGCCGTTACATTATTTGATGTTGAAATTAGGAGATTTAAGTCAGACCTTTGGGTAGCTACAGGTTTGCTATCTAAATGTATGGTAGGCGTAGAACATATTAAATGACCTATCCCACTGGGTCCAGCTATTGCAGGCTTAAGAAAATCATCTCTCTGCAATGTTATATTTACAAATATATTTTTAATCAGTTAAATACCACATATAAATTAATAATCAAATTTATTGTACCGTATCATTTTGTGTAGAATATTTTCCTTTAAGATCTTTTGTCTTATTATGTGATGTTACAACATTTGATCTAACAGAAAATGTTCCAGGCGGGTGAGTAATATCTGTACGAATGCGTGGTCTTTTTGATGGTGGAGGCTTTTCCATGTCCTCCTCTGGTTCTCCTTCTTCGAGATTTTCAGTATCGTTGGAAACATCTCCATTTCCTTGAGACGTATTGAACCATTTACTGATCCATAATGGTTGGGGTATAAATTCTGTTACTCTAGTAGCAACTTTCTTAACAAATGACTAAAAAAAACAAGAGTAATTTTAAGAAAGTAATATAATTAATGTGAAAGTAATCTAAAGTAGCAAAGAAAAAAAATATATAGATATATATATTTAATTGATCAATAATTGTGCTAACTTTTATATATTACAATATGATTTATAAAAAAATAAAAATAAGCAATAAGATATATTGTAAAAATTATAGGTTTTCTTTCCATGCTTTATCATATTATAGTATAATTAATCTGTATATTTATATCAAATAAAGAGAATTTTTATTTTATGTTCTTGAAACAGGTCAATATATCATTTGTGTATATGCGTGTGTGTATTACTTCTACAACTGACTATTTTATAATTTACTAAACTTATGAACATTTATTAACTATTACAATGATTAATTTAACTTTAAATTTACTTTATTGCATCATGTAATATTACAATAAAGTATATATTTCTATGTCCATTAGAAATCATATATCATTTTGTATTATTTCCATTTATGATGAAAACATATATACAATTATTTAATAATCACACCATTCGTATTGAGTCAATGTGAAGTAATTTTAATAAAAATGAGTAAAAACTATTTGTAGAATATTGTAAGATTGCATTGACTTGTGCTACACGAGGAAACGAACAATTAAAAGAACATTAATATTGGATAGAACAATTTGGTTGAATTTGGAAGGGAAAAGTAAAAACTTATGTAATGTAAGATGTTCTAGTGGCTTCTGGAAGTTATATGAATTTTTTCAAATATGAGAATTCATCAAGGTTACTTATCGCCCCAAAACGATGACTCTTACGTTAAAACACGCAATCGCATATAAGAGTAGCAAGAAAGATTGAGGTTACTGGCAAGACTCACATAACCGTGGAGACATTGGGATCTCATAGGAACGCATCCTAAGAAAAGGGTGCTTATATAGGACATATTAAATGAAATAAGGATTATTCGGATGTAATGATTAGCTTTTTGGTTTTTTTAATTTGGATAGGAAGGCGCGAAGGACCGTTAGAACCAACTTAAGTTCGTTTCTCTCGCGGGCAAATCATGCCAATATGACTCCACTCACGTTGTTCGTATCGTAAGGTTTCGTATTGTGCGACGACGATCGTCTTGAAGATAAATTTCCGCTACTCTTGGCCATCCTTGCTGTCGTGTCTCCTTCTTTTACGGATTAAACAGCACGAATATTGACGATTTCGATTGTCGCATTCCAAAAATATTCACTGAACCACTACCTTCGAGAAACTATGAGCCACGAGCGAAAATATGGCCGCTCCAAAGACCGCCACCAGGGCGCCAGATTTCTCACAAATACCCGCTCTCTGCGCTTGCCCACGTGACGCAATACTTCTGCGTCGTTCGTCGATCATCTCAAGTATGTTCAAAAATATACCTATTACCGCCGAATTTATTTACCATTTCTCTACCCTCCTTTTCAAAGGGGATATTTTATTCACAAAAATTTACAGAAATTTTACTTATTTTCAAAAGTAACTAGTTATACTATTTCATTTTCTTTTTCCTTTATATTTATCTTTTATTATTTTCGTGTTGACACAATTAATTTTAAATTATTATAATAATTGATTACACCTATATATCCCTAGACTTGAGTGATATTTTTTTAATATGATTTCGCTTTTATACGGTATTTTGAGGAACCGATCTTCTGCGTTAATTGGGAGATAGATATTTACGATAATTCATCTTTGAAATTATTTTTTGTACTAATTTTAGTGTCTTACGTTCGACAATCGAAAATAATCGAAAGTATTAAGCAACCAATCACTTTCGACTATTCGTCTAATCGATATCTCGAACAGTCGAATACTTCGTGGAGTGTTTTATGCATCTTAATAAATATTTATGTCTTATAATTATTTTATTTATTCAGATCAATAGTGATCTTTGTTTAAAATAAATTGTTTTTTAATAATTTTATTATAATTGTATACACACAATTATCTAATTATGTTATAATCCTGGCATAACGATGCACTTTGTCCGCGTTGATAGCGCTCTTTTACGATCGTTTGTATCACTTCGATTTATTTCCTATTATTTCAATCAATTTTATTAAATATTAAAAAAAGAAATGTTTTTTTGTAGCAATAATTACATTAATTACAACGAAGAAAATAAATTATTATCTTACAAAATTTCAAATATTTCTAAAGTTTAAAAGCATATTTCAACATTTTATAATTCTGTAAACGTACGATGGGAACGAACTATTTTAAATTTAAAAGTACGTAATTCTTTGAACTATAATGTTAAAGTATTCCATGAAATTTATCAAAAGAGAGTTCTCCTCTGCAAAAGGTTAATACATGCACATAAAAAATAAGTAGAAACTTGAAAAAAAGAGAAATGTTTATTAAATGAACAAAAAATAAACTTTCGTTTAATTTGTAGTACGTACATTAATCGATCGTCATTTCTTATTAAACTTCCAATCGAAGTTATTGAATGATCATACTTTAGTTCCGCGATATAAAGTTTAATCTATTGAATCGACGTTATTTTAATCCTTAAAGAGAGGAATTCAAGATGATTCTTCTGTTTTCTTCGTAAACACGAATACGGTTTCACTTTCTCTATGCGCAAATGGTTGGGAAGCTGTAAATTTCGCGTTCCATTGGTTTCACTTTATGAAGTAAACAGCAAACATTATAAGCGTTGAATGGATTTGAGGTCGCGCGAATGATCGTCTGATTAGGATTGAAACAAATCGGGAAGGAAGGATTTGACACACGGGTGGCACGCCGTCGAGCCACTTTGATGAACTTTCTTCGTCCGTTTCTTCGACTCGTGACCAACCAAGTATAGCGAAACGCAATTACGCATAGAAAAAGTGGTACAGCGATAAATCAAACGGTTTAATTCGAGCAGTTAGAAAAGTATAATGGTCGAATATCACAATTTTCCCTGTCTGTCAATTTCTGTCTTATCTTCTAATAGACATTGATTCGATTGTATCTTTTACAAAAAAAAATGCCCTCAAAAAATGAATACTGATCAATGAAATTGGCTTGTATCTTATCTTAAAAATCAATACATTTAGCATTCACTTAAAGCAAACTACTCGTCATTCCTGTTCGCTTTCTTAGCGATCAAAGTGGCCTGAATAACGATAGTATACCATTGACATCTTTGAACTTGTTGATCGTAAGAAGTGAAACTGATAATTTCCTTTTCTCAGCGAAAGTTCATTAATAAAACGATTATCTCTGACAGTTAAACTTCTTCAATTGTTTCCTCATTATTATTTGTTTTTAATTGGAAGCATCTTTTTATGCAAAAGAACTTATAATATACTTTTACTTATTGTTTATTTCCATTTAGTTCCTGCTTGTATAGAAATTTTGTTGAAGATAAAAATGTGTATGATTGCATATATAAAATCGGTTAAATTTCAACTGGTCTCGAGTGACATTTCGATAGATACGTACGTACGACGAAACAGTAATTTGTTCCGATCGCTTTGATAGGAAAAGAGTAGCAAAAAAACGGGGATACTATGTAGGAACTTTCGTGGCAAGAACGATATTCATTCCTTACAATCTCGCAGTCTGCATCCGTTCGGCACGATCGCGGTGCTCCTTCGGACGCGCTCACTTTCTTCGAGTTCTTCCCGCGGAGATATCTCCTCGAACGAATGCGAATAAGACAGTTACAAGGATTATCACTGTCTCTTTTCGATCATAAAATTCTTATCGTTTCTTCGATGCGTCAATTTCAGATCGCGAAGGTTTAATTTAATTGTCAAGATGTATTTCGAGTGCGAATTACAATGAAATTCAAATTAACGATATCAACTGCCAAACTAACGCAATAGCAACGATATGTAACGACAAACTTGTATAAATTTTGAAATCGATTGAAAGAATCGTCAAACAATTTCACGTGCGACGGACATGTATTATTTGCGCGTTGAATTCGTAGCGATTATTCTCTTCCTCCTCGCGGTGGTCGATTGCACCATGGTGAAAATCATTCGAGACGATCATTTAAGTAAGTTCAGATAAAGTTACGTGTGTTTGACTTTGTCTAAAAAAAAAAAAAAAACAAAACAAAATCGTTATTAAAAAGAATTTTAAATACCAAATCTTTTTTACCTCTACTAAAACATTTTGTCAATGTTTATTGTTGTTGCCTGTTGTATTACTTCGCTCCTTTAATTAAACTCTAAAAAAAAAAAGAGAAAATTAAAAAAATTCGATCCTGGTCTGTGAATGAAATTTCGATCGGTCTCGCGTGAGAATTCGCAGAAGGCAATTAAGGAAGAACCGAAGTTTTTGAAATAACAGAGTGCGGATGTCCAGCAGCGTCTCACAGGCAACCACGATCAACAACATCCGGGAGGAACAAAGTTACATCCACGACTTCCAATCGGCAAACGGCTGTTTCTACGACGGGACGAATTTTCAATGGAAAACCCAGCCGAAGAGGATCTTGGCCGTGGCAAGTCTCTCTTCAGCTGCTACATCCGAAATTAGGTTTTATCGGTCATTGGTGCGGTGGAGTTCTCATCGATCCTAAATGGGTCATTACGGCAGCGCATTGTATTCACAAGTTAGCATCTCATACAAATAATATAAATATATCAAGAGCGGTCTCGTCAACCTTCTTTTTCTCTTAGCGATCTCTTTAATCTCCCAATCGGTGCCTTATGGACTGTTGTGGTAGGAGAATGGGAATTGGATTCCGGTGGTCGTGGATCAGCCAGATTACCTGTCGAACGAGTGATACTTCATGAAAGATTTAATAATTATGTTCACGATATCGGTGAGTACGTGTTTCATTAGAAAAAAAAATGATAACGCTCGAACAAATATCAATTAATAATTAATTGTACGAATTTACCTCAGATTTGAAAGGTAAAATAACAAGCACGCGAGTCAATAAATAGTACAAATATACGAGCAAGCAATTTGAATTCAAGGCGATTGAATAAACAGAAATATGTAGAACACCGATTATATATTTTTTTGGTCTTTTTTTAGCTCTGATGAAACTTGCTAGACCAGCACCTCTTTCCAAGGTAGTGAAGACGATATGTCTTCCGGACGCGGAGGAAGAACTCACGGATAGCAATTGCGTAGCATCTGGTTGGGGTCGTTATGGACCTTCGCCATCTCTCTCGACTTCGCTCCTTGAGGCTTCGGTGCCATTGTTAAATCTTGAGGAATGCTTACACGCTTATGGAAAATCTGTTCCTATTCTTAATGGTCATTTGTGTGCTGGGCACGTTGATGGTTCCTCTGGAAGCTGTGTTGTGAGTATAGGCGTATGGTTACGGGGAACATAAGCAAAGAAAAAAATCATTTAAATCACTTCATTTCCTTTTTTTTTCAAAAACTAATTTCTCCTATCACACTGTCCCATTTTCCGACCGAATTGAACCAAATGCGATACTAACATAAGATTACCATCATAATGTCTTTCTTCGATTCACTTAAGCAAATTGTATCACGGCGCCTTTCGTAAAATTAACATTGCTCATTTGAAATTACATTCCGATTATATTGGACGTGCGAGTAAAATAAGAGATAAGAAAAAATATATAAAAGCAAAGTAAAAGGATACCATCGAGAAAATGATGTTGCTTTTCCTTACCGTACTTTCTCTATATCTCTGCAGCAAATGTAACGTTTTTTGTGAAAATATTAGCGCAACGATCAGTATAATCGATCTATCTTCATAAAATAAATGATTTTAATGATCATACGACGCATCAGTAGACTCGTTTATACTGAATCGGATCTTGTAACGAGTAATAGAGCATGTTTTATGTTTCGAAAGTGCTAATTCAATTCTGATTAGCCTTCTCTTACGCTTTCACATAATAAAATATCGTGGTAACAGTGTGCTTACGGTATTAGTGCCATTAACATAATCGGTAAATGTTGAATCATTTTTAAATCGTTTACTTTATCTTTCCTTTTTTGCATCAGGGAGATTCTGGAGGACCCCTACAATGCCGTCGTTCGGATGGTGTCTGGCAATTAGTCGGTGTTACTTCTTTTGGTTCTGGTTGTGCTCGACCAGGATATCCCGACGTCTACACTAGGATACAACACTATTTGAATTGGATAAGAAATATTATCGACAATGATAACAACATATAAATTATAACTCATTGTAAATGGATCATACAAAGCAACAAACTATTTACAATTCATAAATTATATTCAATTTTAGCGTATATGTATGTATATATGTATTTATGTTTGTGTGAATATATGCACGTATGCATGCGTCATCTCATAACGTATGCACGTATGCAAAGTCAATCTCATAATGTTTACTATCGGTAATTATAATTAATATCATTTAAAAATGATTTTCAAAACATTTTTAATATAATTTTCTCCGAGACTTTTTTCAATTTTCATTACTATTATTTAATAAGATAATACTTTGTTTTATTTCGTGTCATATTGTTAATTTTCACGATGTATGATAAAAAAGACGTTTGTTGACTAATTTAAAGAAGGATAAAATCCAATGGAAAATTGAAAAAGGGCAAGGATAGAATTTCTCTTTTAACTTTCGAAGAAAAGCTATTTGCCGACAGATGGAAATATTCGTCCTCTATACTATTGTGATTGATATTCGTTTTCATACTCGATACAAGAAGATCTGCATTTATATAGGAAGTATTACGAACTCAAATAACCGTTTTCATAGAAATGTTGCGTAACATCAATGTTATATATGTAACAACCAAAGTGATTGTGCTTCTTCGATGAAATTAGAAATATCGATTTATGGATAGCGTAGGTAGTACAGTCTAAGTATCGTACGTAGTTACATATTATTACATCGAAGTGAATACATTAATTAACCTAATACGAAACACTCTACACAGGAAAGCCTACGAGCTTCTATCAATTAAGCTACTCGATGCATTGGCTGAAACAAGAAATCGTATTCAGTATTATTGTTTCAACTAAATAATAAGTATAGTTTAAGTAACTCTATTACCTTTTGTATATTAATTTTTATTACTGCTGTAATGTATGTAAGAAAAATATAAAAAGCGAGATATTATTAATAGAAACAAAATTTGATTATAATGATTTAAACGCCATTATATTAAAACTAATCTACGTAAAAAACGATAAATTACAGAAAAATTCAATACTGATCGTTCAGCAATTAATCGATATTTAAATCATATAAATCTTTAAATTCGATACTTAAGAACCATAATCATTTTTGCATCAATCTGATATATTGTATATTTTCTATTGATATAACTATAGATAAAAACTAAAAACTTATAACTGAAGGGTCAAGTTTGAACCCTTTGATACTAAGTTTATGGGTTTAATAACGTAATTAAATTGTAAGAGCTATAGAACAGTACGTGTATCAGGTCCATATCGTCCAGATATTAAATTATTTAACAATATACAATATTAATTCCATCGTATTAATTTAAGAATAATAGGAATAACATTATATTATTTAAATAATTTTATCATGCTCTTTCGTAAGTTTTTTGATTGAAATATTGGATTAAAATAAGCAATCATAAAACGTAATCGCTAATCGAACTAATCTGATATTAATCAATATAGTAAATTAATAATATATATACATGTATTCTCCTATATGTTTCAATGATATTTACGTGAACGTGTCACTCTTATCATACTAATTAGGAATTACTAATTACATTAGATGTCTTGTTACGTTATCGCATACCTGGTGTTGTCAGTATAACGATTTCATTTGCATAAGAAAGATGATAAAAATATGTTCGGACTAATTAAACGTACCAGTGAAATTTTTTGTCTTTTATATTTTTAATATCATACAATAACAATCACTGACAATGAAATAACGTTTACATGAGAATTGAATATTTAAATAACAACACAAAAACTAATACGAATCAATCTGTACAATTTAAATATTAAGATAATGTGTACTATAATATAGAACAAATTTACAATTAGGTAGAATCTTTTTCAGAGTAAAATACTAATTTATACCATTAGTTAATAAAGCATAGAATTCTTTCCCTGGGGAGAATAAGAAAGGGTGTGCCATTTAATGTTAACCATACCGCGTGTAACTCATAACACACGAGTTTAATCATAAATAGTTTACTTTTATAAGAAAAAAAACCAAACAAATCTAACATCACGATTTTTGATCTTATTTTATTAAAAAAATATATCACTCTCTCGAATATAGATAATATATATTGAAATCTATATTGAATAGAATTTAAAATCACTTAAGTATTTTCAAATTCACAGATTTATCCCGCGCAAGTCAAAAGGGAGGGGGATCACGTGAGCAGCATTTAACTACGTCATTGTGGTCGGCCGAAAGACAGAAAGGGACGCTAAGGGTAGAATGGGAGCGGCGGGAAGAGGGAGGATACGAAGCAACAACGACGAAACACGAATACACTCCACTTCTCGCGTCCGTAGCGAGCGGTACAGTCGGGAGTGAGAGTGATGTTCTCAATCAGTAGGACACTTTCATCGAGCTGAGGAAAGTGAGGGAGACCGTCATTTCTTCGAGAAAACCTAGGTGGGAAAGAAAAAAGAGTGTTTAGAAACGATTTGACAAGGGGGGGGAGAGGAAGAGAAGTGAAAGACGAGAATCGCGAGAAGAGAAAGAGTGTGTTTGTTAGAAAGAGAAAAAGAAGGATAGAAAAAGAAAGAAAGACAAAAAGAGAGAGAGAGAGCATGGAGAAAGGGAGAGACAGTGTTGCAGTAACGTCGACTCATCGTAAAAGCATGTTTCAATTCCAAAAGAGATCGTAGCTAGATTCTATTACTCTCTCTCTCTCTCTTTTTCTTTATTTATTTATTTCTTTCTTTTTTTCTATTTCCTTCTTTTTCTATTTTCCTCCCCCTTCTTTCCTTCATTCCTTATTTCCGTTGTTTTTTGAATACCCTATAGGATTCGAGTCTAGAAATATATCCGCGAGAAAGTAAAGGAGAAACGAAAAATGCAAAGGCTCGAAACGCGACATTGACCGCAAAGAGACAGGCAGGGGAAAAGGACGCGAAGGAATATAGGAATCGGTTTCTCATGGTGGAAGGGAACACACAACTATGACGATTGCACGTGCAGACGCGCTCAATGCGAAAATGGAAAAGAGAAGGAACGAGAGAGATACTCGATGAAAAGTTTCCTCGAACGGTAGAGAGAGTGAGAGAGAGAGAAGAAGCTCGCCGGGGGAAGCCTTTTATTCCGAAGGGAATCCCTCGGAAGGGAGAAAACGGACGCGCCGACTTGTGTTTCTCTCCGTGACACGAAGTAAGACACGGCGTTGAATACTTCGATAATTATTAGATTTTTTCTTCCTCTCGTGATCCTTCTTAAAATGATATATTTACCATTTACTCCATTTTCCAATTAAATTCAACTATAGGGCGCTTTTTAAAGGATATTATTATTTAACGAGGATTAATAGGAACGTCGAAAGAAAAAAAAAAGAAGAGGGTTTTTACAAATATATCGTGAATTGATTCAAAATGGCTGGCGTCTTTTACATTCTGCATCGTAACGTAACAGAACGATAGACGTTTATATTTATTCTCACGCGAAGTTGAATACCTTGGTAACGGTGCTCTTTTCTATGCCGACTATAAATGAATTCAAATCAGGAGAGAGACGTTGATTCGAACTTTGTATATAACCTTCACACGCTGATTATGCGAGCCTCTTTGAACTCGAACTAGTAGTACGAAATGTATTCGATTATAAAATACATCGATTAAGACAATTTATTCGTGTAACCATTTAAACGTGTTTTCTCAATCGCATACTTTTCTTTCTATTATCTATCAGTTAATAATCTATTTATCGTCAATCGTTTTTCACTGATTCTTAGTTTTCTTTTATGATACCCCACCGCGTATACAGGGTGAGTCATTCAACTTGTTAAAAGTCAATATCTCGGTAACTAGAAGGGATATCGAATAAAAGAATTCTCAAGTAGATTTTATAGGGCGTTTTCATTTGAACAGGTAACAACAATATTTCTTTTTTCCAATATATCTATCAAGTTGTTATAAATTAAACGAGTCACCTTATATACTGCTTACATACGTTTGAAAATAGAAAATTCTTGTTCTCTTTCCGTTAGTTAGTTTGTTTGTTCGCTCAAAATATTTTTATTTCAGATACGAAAATAGATGATTCTAAGCTATTGTCTGGACGGTATAAAAGGATTTTTGGTGCCTGATTAAATATGAATAGGAACAACAATAATAACAATAATCATAATAATAACAACAACAACAACGGTATGTCGTTAACTACACCACCAGCAATACACGTCGGTCCGATAATGACGCCGGGCTCGAACGAAACCATTTCCATAGTGATACCATTGTCCGCTCAATTGGCCACTGTTTCTGGACAAAAGGTCGAAAAAGCATCCTGTAAAGATTGCGGCAAGGATTCCAAAAAAGGTTCGCCGAATAAACCTGCGCCGCGAATTCGAAACGATAAGACGAAAGGCTGTCCTTATCCCACTTGTACGAGATACGGTCGTGCTTTTTCAAGAGCACACGATTTAAAGCGTCACATTGCGCGACATGAAATGCGAAAGGAAAAGTTAACGGAAGGTGAGAAAGGAAACAACATGGTCATTGGTTGTCTCGAATACGCAAAAAATCTCGTTAACGAGTCTGCTTTGAGGACGAACGAGTCTTTCAAAACGGAAATTCCTCGAGATGCGGAGACCAACGTTAGAACATACACATGTCCTCGTTGCAAGAAGAAATATTCTGAGGAGAGCAAGTTTAAGGCTCATCTCGCTATGCATGACAAAGTAATCCTTGTCAAGGTAATCATAGATGATTAAATTATTTTTAACATCGTATAAATCTCATATCAATCGATCGATCTTCAAATCTATATATATATGACTTGAAAATTTTAGGCATTGACGAAAAATGTATGCACCCTATGCGGGTTACAACTTCAAAACGAAACCGACATGCAAGAACATATGAAGCAACACGGGAACATTATTTTGCAAGCTCAATCGGCTCAGGCGGCGGTACCACAAAATGATAAGGAGGATGATTTCCTACTCGAAGAGATGCTCTTATTACATAAAAATCCACGAAGAACATCGTCTGATAAAACGGCCGATGTTTCTAGTGGCAAAGCCGCGGCTAAAATTAGGTGTGACTACTGTCAGAAAACTTTCAAAACTAAATGGACATTGAGCTCTCATGTAGCCGCGCACGAAGGTCGTTATCAGTTTGATTGTGCCCAATGTGGCAAAAAATTTGTGAGGAAGAGTCATTACGAGGGACACGTACGTTCCCACGAAGCAGCGAGGCCTTACGTATGCGAGCAATGCGGAAAAACGTTCAAGGAATTGAAACACAGACGCGAACATACCAAAAGAAAGCATCCCGGGAATCAGAGTGCTATACAAAATCTCTTGGATAGCATCAGTCCGTGTGCATCCGAGGAAGTGCCAGTCGATCAGGCTAAATTTACTCTTTTGATGCCGGTGAACTTTACAGCTTAAAACGTATCAAATGTATTAATTAAAAGCTTTTTCTCTTGTATGTGTATCTAGAGATATAATAGACTTTATGTTGAAACCTTTATTAGTTTTTTGAAGATGCACCGATGAAAAATTACCAATATAACGAATTTCAATTTCTCATGTGTGTCGTATTGAATATTTTTTTTTTTATATACTCCTTATGTATCTTTTGTAATGATAGAATCAATGTATTATGTATTACATTAATGATGTTCTGTTTCGTCGGAAAATCTTATACAAAATTTTGTTATCAAGAAAATACAAATAAATCTTAAATTCACACCTACGGTCAAAAAAAAAACGAATGCATGTAAAATTATTTGCTATGTGCACTATTTCTAGAATATTTTAATAAAATTTTAATATCGCTGTGTCGACGAAATGCCAGAGTCACTAACTTTATTACTCGTAATTTTAATGTATCTCTAGTATTAGCCTAATAGAATGGAAATACTATCGTATTTACAATTCCTTTGATATTGAGGAATAATTTTGTATTTCTAGATAATAATGCATATTTGCAAAGAAACTTGCAATTTGTATTTTTTAAACACACACTTTATATTTGTAGAAATTTAAATTGTGTTTAAAGTATAATTATAATGAACGGACTATTTCATGGGACAGTTCTTTTGTTTTATTACAAGAAGACGTTATATGATATTTTAGTTTTTACTCATTTTTTTACTTTCATAGATTTTAATAATAATATACGAATATATCTTCTGACAACAACAAAAGAGCATATTACATTGATATGTTTATCTAATGAAATGATGTTAATTTGAAACATACAATATTCGAAAAGACAAAAAATTTTATTGACATTAAGAAGATAACTGTTATTAAGATTTCTTTTTAAATGAGCACGAATAAGCGTCGGAAAACGTCATCGAAACGTGTAGAGCAGAAAAATGTGCACAAGCATACGGCTAATGAATGTTTTTATTATCACACTTTGGACACACTTCCACCAGAAGTTTTAGAAATAGTATTACGTTTATTACCTCTACATGATGTAGCTACTTCAGTTCGTTTAGTGTCCAGGTGAAAAATAATAAATATTCATTGAAATATAATAAATTCTCATCTTGATTAAAAAATATATATTGATATAATCGTTATCATCATTTACTTATTATCAGGAATAACTATTAATCGGTGATTCATATTTGTAATAAATTATTATTTACAAGTTTTTAAATGTAATTACCGATTAATATTCATACTTAATAATAATAAATAAATCAAAAGATTATATAATATTTTCAGACGTTGTTCGAACGTCGCTACGATAGTTTTGAATGCTGCATTTATTTTGGCTGGTACAAAACTTGAAAATGCAATGAAACATACAGAAACAATGATAATGAAAGTTAAGACAAGTGCTGACCTACTAACCTTCAGCAGAGTATTCAATATTCTAGAAATAGTCATGGCACAATACAAGATGCTCAGAGCTGTAACTTGGAGATATACGCATCCTTCAAAACCAGAGAAATTTTCACGATTTTGCTTTTATGCTGGTGGTCTACTTGATAATTTAAATAATCTGCTTCATCGTGCTGTAAATTGTCCTGTTTCTTTATATAGGTCTCATGGACCAGATCCTAGAATTGCTTGTTTTATATCCGATTGCAAGCGCTTTATGAACTATTTTGAAAAAGTTTCTGAAAGCAAAGTGAATAGGTAAAACGAAATATACATATATGATAAGATACAGAAATATATAAATAAATAAAAGATATAAATATACAATACTTCCATTTCCAAATGTAATTCTTTTGTTCTATGAAAAAAAAAAAAAGATAAAAAACTTACAAGGTAATTTTATAATTAGATCCGCTTTGGTGTCTGGATGTAAAGCCATAGATGTTCTAGATTGTCTTGCAGAAGGACGTAAGGTTTTATCATTCGATATATTGTCTAATGAAGGGATCAAAAATGACATCATTAGTATGAAGCTAAAATATGAAATGAAACGAGCTTGGTTCACTTGTCTAAAAATTCCAAATATACTTGATGAAAATTCATGGAAAGACCAGCAACGTTTTATGTACCTTAGGCTACGTCGTTTAGTTGTCAGTGTCAATGAACATTATTATGAAAATTTGCAATATGAGCGAGAAGTACTTCTTCAGGTAACATTTATAATGTTACTATATGATGACTAATATTTTTATTTTTTTATACAATCATCACATTGTTATCTTATTTGAATAATTAAACTCACAGTTTCCTTCTATGTCTTGAATTACTTTCTTTCAATTTACATGAGAGTATAAATACTTCGCTAGTTTCATATATACAATAGTGAATAAGTTTTACGTACAGGAACCATCGATACCACCTCCAAGAATGCCTCCAGTATCCACATATTCTGGTTATGGAGAGTATGGTGGACAATTTTTTTATTATGGAAACATGAATAAGTATGCTTACGAGAGCAAATTCAAATCCTTGCCAGTAACCGACCACGAAAATGCGCAAAATAATACTGAAGAAATTCAGAAAAAATCTTGCTTCAATCTTGTCATAGCTGTAGAATTGAAATGTTCACCAGAACTGGCACCTTTTGCTGTAAGAACTTTATTACGGTCCAATGAATTAGATATATATACAAAAACTCCTAATCATTCAGAGCTTTATTTAAAACTCGATATTATGTGTCCTGCTTCAATGGCTAATAGATTACCAGGACATTTTACTTGGGAGCTTAATAGTTCTCGTCATGTGCACCATTCTTCTTAGTATATTACAAGTATATTTTTTCTTTATTATATTATCATAATATAAAAAATAAGAAAATTATATGCTTGTTATATAACTGAGATAAACTTTCGATAAGCAAAAATTATTTAAAGAATTATTATATTATTTTTATATCTTTTACACAATGATATCTATTATAATATTTTAAGTATATATTAAAAAGAATCAAAATTTTTTTTGTCATATTTGATTTATTCATATCATCTAAATTTTGATTACATGTTTATACTTTGATAGAAATTTATTTTTTTAAATCCTAATAATATGGAAAAGATGTAAATTTATATACAATATTCTAGTTTTTATCTATCAATAACATTATTATAATGTCTCACTTACTTATATGTAAGAGTAATAATAATGCTCCTTTATGTATACTTTAATTTATGATTTATCCGAAAATTTTAGTATTAAAGTTATACAAAATGTTACTAAAACTGTATTTAAGTTATTGGGTAAATATATATATTTCTTTTTAATATTAATAAATGATATAACTTTACCAATAACATTACAATAATTAAGTAAAATCTATAAATAAAAGACAATTAATAAGAAATAGAAAGTATAGGATTAAAACAAATTAACAAAAAATTATTTTATAAAGTTTACATATATTTATACAATACTTACAAACTTATTAAGTGTTAACGCCTACTTGTATATTTTCTGCAAAATCTTCTTCTAAATCTTTTTGTGGCTGCCATATTATATCGTTTAATTTCTTAGCACGGTTTTCTAATATACTATATGCAAAATGATTAAGGAGGATTCCTTTAGGAATAGCGACTCCTTGAAAACGATAAAGTACTTCATTGTCATCTGATGTTAATTTATGAACTGCAGAAACAGTGCAACGTCCTATCATCTTCGTATTACCTATCATTGGACCTTTACTAATGTCTATATGATCTCCTATTCTATAAAGCGTAACTTTATTATTAACACTATTAGCAGCAATATCAGGTATTTGTTTATATTTAAAAGGATTATTACAAAACATTTCTTTAGCGATAAATTCTGTTGTTTCAAGTCTTTCTATAGGTATTTCGCTATTTATAAATTTTATAAATAAAGCAGACATCGCTCTTAATTCTGCCTCTGTTGGTTTCCAATCAGGTAAATCAATAAATACATCATATACAAAACTTCCAGACTTTATTACGGGTACTGGAAAACTGTGTAAATGAACCGTTATGTCATCTTTAAAAGCAGTATCAGCTACAGCACCCAAGATAAAAGAACAAGTTCGCCAAAAAGCATAGTTAATTGCACTTATTTTTGGAGTCATCATGCTCAAAAGTTCTAAGTTGCAATCAGATTTAAAAGGTTTGTGCATATCCCACGGATTTCCATCGACTAACGCCAAAGCAGAAACATTAGTAATACCTTCAGAAATATGTTTGGCACAATCGTGAGGAGTGGAGATATCTTTATTCATAATTAAAACAACATCTTCTGTAGGTGATTTATATTTAACTTCTATTTTTTCTATTCTACCGATGGCACTTCGCTGCATTTTTTTCTCTTCTTCGAAGAGAGCATTTCTTCTTTTTTTTGCCTCTGCTCTTGATAATGTACTCATATATTTTGAAGATAGATGTGATTGTAACTTCAAATTATTTAAACATAAACTTCCACACCTACAAAATAATCATAATATTATAAATTAGTATAGTAAAACTTATAAATTTACAATTTTTAAATATATTATTAATTATATTACTAAAAAAATATCTAATAAGAGAAGAGGTGATTAGAAAATTTTCTTTTACATAAAAATCTTTCATGACTATAGTATATTTAAAATTTTATACAAACCTTTGAAACATTTTTGAAAATTTTGTAAGGTTAAATTAATATTATCATTTGAATTCAACTTCGTCTTAATTTATGTATTTCTTCTTACATCGAAATGTAATCATTTATTTTCTGTGCCATGAAAAGAATATTAATAATATTATAAATTACGATTATTCTAATTATTTTTATAGATCTTGTCGCGTAAGCCTCTATGTATTCGATTCAGTTAGCTTACTATATTATTTGCTATTGCTGTACATATTTATAAGAAGGTTAGTTCTGCAATATTAAACACGGACTACCATTTTAATTCTTTACCCGCAATGTCAGGTAGCGCTACGAGTACACCTGCATATTAATGTGAGCGTGATTGAATATTATACTACAATTATATATATTTAATAAATAAATGATGATACTAATAAAAAACAAGTATGTATTTGATAATATTTTACATAATTCAAATAAAACAAAAAATTCGATATATCAATGCACCATCTGACGTAAAATATGGAATTAAAATTGTAGGCAAATTTTCTTAAGCTCAAAAGTTCAAAAAGAGTCAATAGATGTACTTATATGTATGCATATGTAAGAAGTAACAGGTTATGTTTGTCCAATTCACGTGTTCGGCTTTGATAAATTGTGTAAATACTCTATGATATTAATTAGATTATTTATAAATAATCTTTAATAAGAGATAATTTAATGCCAAATATATAAAAGAATAGAAAAATATACATATCTTTTATATAAGCTTTGGTAAAATATAAATACAATTTAAGTTTGTATCAAAGCAAGTTAGTGTGTTCAATTATTTATTAATATACAATTGAATTCATTGTATTTATTGTTTAAAAATTCATCGTTTTTAATGAAATGGGGCGAAAGGCGAAATTCGATAAAACAGATTTACCTAGTAGCAAAGGTAAAGGTAAAGGTAAAAAAGCAAAAAAGCAGGGAGATCCCGTATTTACTAAATTAGCAGGTATGTTCAATTAATTTATTATTGTTACTGATTAAAGTATATAATTTATTTGTATAATTAATACAAAAATTTATTATATGTGCAATATGTTATAGTAAAAAATGAAAGCGCATTGAGTCATCGTCAAAAACAAAGAGCTAAGAAAAGATTATTGAAGAAACAAAAATTAAAAGAAAATGTAAAAAATATACAGAAACTCAAAGACACAGAGAACGGTGTGCAAATTAAACAGGGTATAAATAAAAATAAAGTTAATTCAATAAAAAATGATATCGCTGAGAATATAAACAGTGGTATGAAAATTAATAAAGAAAACGTATCGTTAAATAAAAGTAATAAAATACAAAACAAGCTAAAAAGAAAACAAGAAATCAAACTTTCACCAAAAACTGTGAAAGAAAAAAATATACAATCTGACAAATTAAAAAATAATAATACAGAAACTCATATTGTATCTGATGATAAACAATGCAATGGAAATAAGAAATCTAAGAAAATAAAAAACAAATCATTAAAAAGTACTGCGAAAGCAACAAGTAATAATAGAAAGTCTAGTTTAAATGTCGAAAGTACCGATATGGAAATTGAGAGTAAAAGTGAATCATTAACTACATCCAATAAAAACAATAAAAGAACTAAAGGTAAGGCATTAGCTCTTACTAAAAAAGTAAAAAGTGATCATACAGATTCAGGTAAAGAAAAAAATGATATAAAAAATAATAGCCAAAACAAAAAATTGAATATAAATAATACAGTACAAAATAAGAAATTAAAAAATGCAAAGAAACTGTTGAATAATGATACAGAGGAAGAAACTGATGATATGGAATCTAGCGAAGAAAATGAAGACAATGTAAAAAATAATAGCCAAAACAAAAAATTGAATATAAATAATACAGTACAAAATAAGAAATTAAAAAATGCAAAGAAATTGTTGAATAATGATACAGAGGAAGAAACTGATGATATGGAATCTAGCGAAGAAAATGGAGACAATATAAAAAATAATGACCAAAAGAAAAAATCGAATAACAATAAAGCAATACAAAAAAAGAAATTAAAGAACGCGAAGAAATTGTTGGACGATGATACAGAAGAAGAAACTGATGATATAGAATCTAGCGAGGAAGATGAAGAAACTGGAAGTATGGATGATGATGAAGAAGATGATTTATTGCCTATAGAAAAGGCAAATAAAAAGTTAAAAAAGAGAAAAGAAATAGAAGAGTAAGTAAACAAATTTTGTAACAGATTCATTTGTATAAAATTGTAATTTCTATATAGTTAACATATAATTAAATATTTGAATGTAATAGGCAACTTGCAGAAGCAGAAATGCAAGAAATGACAAATCAACGTAGTGTTTTTTCATTTCCCACGGAAGAAGAAATTGCTGATGTTACAGATTTGAAAGAAATACAACAACGTATACGAGATGTTATGATGGTATTATCAGATTTTAAAAATTTACGAGAAGAAAATAGGTATATTTTCTTATGTTTCTTTTTTCACATTTGTGTTATAATTATTGTAGTAAAAATAACTACTATACTGTTTGCATTTTAGATCACGTTCAGAGTATTTAAAATTGTTTCAACATGATTTGTGCACATATTATAGCTATAATAATTTTCTTATGGAAAAATTAATGCAAATGTTCCCATTAGACGAGTTACTTGAATTCTTAGAAGCGAGTGAAGTACAGAGGCCTATGACTATTCGTACAAACACATTAAAAACTCGACGTCGTGATTTGGCAGAAGTAGGTTCACCAAAATTGATAAATATTTATAATTTTTATATTTATATTTTGATTATTTTATTATTATTTATAACAATTTATTTGTTTTCTTAGGCGTTGATCAACAGAGGTGTTAATCTAGATCCTCTAGGAAAATGGACAAAAGTTGGATTAGTAGTATTTTCATCGCAAGTACCAATGGGTGCAACTCCAGAATACTTAGCAGGACATTATATTATTCAAGGCGCATCAAGTTTTCTCCCTGTTATGGCATTAGATCCTAAAGAAAACGAAAGAATTCTAGATATGTGTGCAGCACCAGGAGGAAAATCTTCTCATATTGCTGCAATCATGAAAAATACAGGCGTTCTATTTTCTAACGACGTCAATCAACAAAGAATAAAAGCTGTTGTTGGTAATTTTCATCGACTTGGAATTGTCAATTCTGTTATTTGCAGTTATGATGGAAGAAAATTACCTTCTGTAAGTATAATTAATTATTAACATATCATTTTCGCATAATCAAATAATGTTATCTGAAATTAATAAAATTATGTATTTCTAGATTATGAAAGGATTTGATAGAGTGTTATTGGATGCTCCTTGCACTGGTACTGGTGTTGTTGCTAAGGATCCTAGTGTAAAAACCAATAAAGATGAAGTGGATGTACAACGTTGTTGTACTTTACAAAGGGACTTATTACTAGCAGCTATAGATTGTGTTAATGCTAGGTCTGAGTCGGGTGGTGTTATAGTTTATTCAACATGTTCAGTCCTTCCGGAAGAAAATGAATGGATTATTGATTATGCTTTGAAAAAACGCGATGTCAAATTAGTTCCCACTGGTCTAGAATTTGGTGCTGATGGTTTTATAAATTATAGACAACATAGGTTTCATCCTTCTCTTAAATTGACCAAACGTTTTTATCCACACTCTCACAATATGGATGGATTTTTTGTAGCCAAATTTAAAAAGTTTTCTAATATTATTCCAAAACAAGAACAAATAACTGAAACGTCGGAATAAAAATTAGGTAAACAATTTAACATTATTTCCAATGAAAAACGTTATTACATAATTACTACAATAGATACATATGTAAGACATTAAAAATTCATTTGTTAATTTTCAATATTGATATTAAAAATGTCAATATGATATAAATATAAATTAATTTTTATGTGTGTAGATAATTTTATAATCTTTATGTTGTGCCTTAAAAAAAAAGAAAATAAATATATTCAAATATAAATATGAATATATTATATTACATAAATCTTATATAACACTAAAGAAATAAATTATACAATTCATAAAATTACAATTAAAAGATTATTTTATAAAAAAACAAAATATACTATTTATGTATATAATTAAAAGCATCTTTGTTTATTATAACAGATTATAAAATAACTACAAACAAAAATGAATATAATTCGTTGAAATATACATTTTCTCAATTTTTTGTAAACACTGAAGTTTAATTTAGTGGAAAAATATACTTTTTAATTGTTTATCACAAAGTCTTTTTACTTCATCTGTAATAAATATCAAGAAATTAACAACTTGTCAAATATAAAAAAAATAAGTATTTTCTTGGAATATATAAAATGATGTATGAAAAAAAAAATAAATTGAAAGTGTATGCGCACTTTACAAAATAGATACACATACCATCGATCTCAAGAATGCTAGCACTTTTTTGTTGTATAACAACAAAAAATTCTCTTAAATTCGATAACTTTCCAATAACCCAATAATCACTTATAGTTTTAATAATAATCTCGCCGGCTTCTTTTAAACTAAGTAACACAGAAATGTATGATAGTTTTATAATATCAATTTATAATTAAGAAAATTAATAAGGATATAAGATTCTTACCCATTAGTATCATTATATATGTCAGTAATGATTCTTAACACTTCAGGAGTAGTTAGTACATTAGAACACCTTCTATTATCTAAATGTATTGTACTCTTGTAGGCTAGATTAAGTTTATTGAAATATAAATATTTTGTAGACGATTCCGGTGTCACCATTACATGCTTCGCACATTGTTCAGCAACACAACTAACTAATGTAGTTAATTGTGGACCAAGAAAACTGTCTAGACTCTTAAAGAAGTCTATTAATAAATTAGTTTTACCTAAAACAAAGTTAGCATATAATCGACAGTAGTTTATTAAAATTTTTGTATAATTATGATATTTAATTATTTTTATATATATTTTAACATAAGGAATTTGATTTCTTGATAAACTTACTATCAACAAAAAGACATATTGTAGCACTCAATGCACGATAAACAACTAAATACAAAGACACAGGTTTGCTTGAGTAATTAATAAAAACTGTTGGAGATTTCCCTACCAAACTTGGTTCATTAATACTCGAAGGTCCAATAATAAACCTATTGATATAAATGCAGATAATTACAATTTTGTAATATATCAAATAAATTATTGATACATACTTTCCGTAATGAGAACTTGTGAACGGTGATGGAGAATTTCGAGACATTGATCCTCCATGTAATTCTTTTTCTAGATGAGCTGGTAATAATGTACTTACTAAATAATTATATACTACTTGCATATCTTCTGGTTCTAATCCACTCCTAAATATATACGAGAAACCATCTGGTTTTTATTATTTTTATTTGTAAGATAATATCATATATTAAAGTATTTAAACCATTTACCATACAACTTGATCATTGTAAAGAAATGCTGTATATTTAACTTGAGAAAACATTGCTTCTATAAGATTCATAAAGCATTGTACTTGTAAAAATGTGATTTTGTCAAGAGGTAAAAATTGTAAACCTTGAAAAACATCCAAAATATCACTGTTATTTAATTTTAACGATAGCAGGTACTGAAACAAATTTATAGAATAAATTGATTGTAATAACGCAAAATTATAAACATTTCTTGTTAATTGACAGAATTTTTACTTACTCTTGAAAAGAAATGTTCAAGTTTATGTTTTAATAAAGTTATGGAGCCACAATCAGGATCATTGATTATTGTTTCAAAAGAACCCATAAATAATCGGAACATTATATAAGTTTGTTTTAATATAGCTTGACAAACACTACTTGAAATTTCATCATTTTGATATTCCATATATTTGTTACCATCCTTTTCTCTACAAATATATGGTACACCAACAATCTGACGATAAAAACATCAAATATAGACTGTTTATTCGACATCATTAATTAAAATGTTATTTCATGATATCTTACCATTACCATCCAAAAATCTGGCTCTGGTTGATAATAAATTTGTCGAGTTTTATGTGTATGACAATAATCGCATGGTTGGCCAGGATTAAAAGATCTAATTTATCAAGTAAAATGAGAAATAAAAGTAATATAAATTAAATAATTTATTAGACAAAATAATGATGTGTCTTCTGCGTTATACGTACTCTGTAAATTTAATAATTGCTTCGCTGAGACCTATATTTTTTATTTGCACGTCTAATTCTTTTTCTGGGTAATAATAAAGTATTTTTTTCTCCTCCTATATATAAATATGATAATATTTATGAAAATTGTAAAAGTTATATTTATGTAAATTAAGAGTTTCAAATCTATATAATTTATTTGTGTGATATTATGAAATATTTTTAATATTCCTAATCATATTAGCATACTCACTTCGCCTTCTTTTTTTGCGTATGTGCCATTAAAAATATAAAAGTGTTCTAAAGTAATTTCAGGTTTTGATGTCATTTCAATAAATTTTTAATAATTACAATAACGTATATTGAGAGGAAAATCTGAAGAATACATGTACACAACTCTTTTATGATTATTTATTACGACTCTTATTTATTAGACATTTTAATCAATAGCTGAAGTAAACATTGCTAAGTTAATAATTAGATATCAGTAGGTGTCATTTGTTGTAAACACACACTCTCTCTCCCTCTTTCTCTCTAGTAAGTATTCTTATTTAATTGAATGTACTTCGATATGCAGCCACGATTTAATCGAACTATTTAAATCAATGAAAAGAAAAGTTATATCGATAAATCGATTGATAAAAATTTACAAATTATCGCAGCATGAGAATATACTTTTCGTCAATATTTTTATTTTAATTTTTGTAAATAATAAATAGTACATTTAAATTAATTAATGACATATGCTTTTTACAAATCTATGCTACACGTTCGGATTTTCTCGTTTTAATTTTTACTCTTTTATATCGAAATTCGAACTATGCAGTCTCGCTAGGAAAGAGACCGCCTATCACGAGACAGCAGAGGACGCTGTTTTAGCAGCTACTTCAGTCTGCTACTTGCCACGCGCGGTGTCACTAGAAGGATGCTATGGCGCTACATGTGTAAATTATTGTTTATTCGTATTTACTAAGGTATTTATTTTTGTCTCTATACTAGTTTATAATAAAATATTGATTAGATATTAAAATTAAAAAAATAATAAAGATTAGATATGAACCATACAAAATTTGTTTCAATATTTAATGAGGTTATGTGGATGCATTTATGTACAAATATGAAAAAGCATATAACTTGCTGATACATTATATTCACCAATTACATTCATATATTATAATTTTCGTTTATATATATTTCATAATAATAAAAATGATGCACCTGTTGTGTCATTCTCTTCTAGAGAATAAATAAATTTATTACCTATATTACATAATTGTGAAAATTAAGTTTATCGTAAGTAATTCGTTTGGTTTGGAACTATGAAAATTATATTCAGTTTCGCATAAGCAATTTTAGAAGGTATGATGCTTAAGGACGACAACGTTCCAGGAAACGTGGGTATAAACACACTTCCCGAATATGGTACCTATTTAGTAGCCAACAAAGAAACCGTTCCAAGCCCAACCCATATCCTCCATGTGGACAGGAACCATATTTTCTCTACAAACAGTAACAAGTTTTAAGTATGAATAGTTATAAGTAAAGTGACCGCATTGTTATTTTATTTGATTATTTACCTGATCCGTATACCAATAGTATGGTGTAGGATCTATGTTAGCCCGAGAATAGCCTTCTAGTAATTCTTGATAGTCCCAAATACGCATTGAACCGCCTACTATTTCACCTACATTAGGTAAAAGAACATCTACAGACTCTGTAAGTCGCTTATCTTCTGGACAACGCTGCATATAGAATGACTTAATTTCTGCAGGAAAGCGGCAAAGCATAATAGGCTCGTTAATCATGTCCGTCATTTTTCTTTCTGGCATTTCTGGGATATCCTGAAAGGGGTATCATTTAAAACATTACAATCCTCATGTTACTAATTAAATTATCAACACAATCAAATTTGTTATACCTCTCCAAATTCATAGAAAGTTCCATCTTCTTTCGTAATATTGTTAGCTTTCAAAAATTCAATAGCATCGCTATAGTTCATTCGCTTGAATGGTTTTTTGGGTATTTTAAATTCTGGATTTAATTCTTTCACTAAATGACCAAGGGGAGATTGTAATACGCGTTCCACTACATCGCATATCAAATCTTCTAATCGATCAAGTAAGTCATCGAATGTTATAAAAGGACATTCTGCTTCAACATGAGTATACCTACAAGTTTGAAGTATTCATTAAAATATTATTTATAAAATAATATACATTAATATAACAAATATACAAATTATTATTCTTACTCAGCAAGATGTCTTCTTGTCTTTGACTGTTCCGCTCTGTATGATTGAGCAATACAGTAAACGTCTCCCATTGCTGGAATACATGTTTCAAGATAAAGCTGAGAACTTTGAGTCAAATATGCTTCTTCTCTGAAAAAATATATTTACTTAGATTTATTTTCTACACGCAAATTATTTACGAATTTTGTTATATTTGTTATATTGATTTACCCAAAGTAGTCTAATTTAAATAAAGTTGAACCACCTTCTACTTGAGTTTGTACCAATGTAGGAGGTGTTACTTCATAATAGCCTCTTGTTTTATAATGGTCTCTAAATGCTTGAGTTAATACAGATCTCATCATCAGAACGCGTGCCGTCTATACAATAAAATAGTATATTAATATAAAATTAATAATATAATAGAAAATTATCATTGTTACATACATTTTCGCCACGAATCATGATATGTCTGTTATCTAATTGTACATCAGGAAGAGCTTCTTCATTCAAAATGGAATCAGCACCTCCAGGTGGAGCTTCTCCGATCAATTTCCAATAATCAACGCACAATTCATGGCCACCGGGTGCCTATAAGTTATGAATGTTAAGATTTACATTTTTAATTATGAAGAATATTATTTAATAAATTTATGCTTAATATCAATTACGAGGATATAGTAAAAATGAAAATCATACACTTTTTCCTTCAGGCACACATTTTAAAGTTCCAAATAGTTCTACTGATGCTTCAGTAGAAAGTGTCAAGGCATCATAAATTTGACATAGTTTGTCATTTAAAACACATTGTAAGAAACCTGTTCCATCTCTCAGCGTAATGAACATAAGGGCTTTACCTTTGAATGAACAATTTTTGATTAGTGAAAATAAAATTTAATTATATAAATGATATAATTTTGCATACCTTGTCGCCTCAATCTATGCACCCATCCAAATATTTTAATTCTTTTGTCTCTAAAACTGAAAGCTTCATTTATTTTAATCCTCGTTGCCTCTGGAAGACTTTTATCTTCTTCGATGACAATTTCTTTAGCTTCCTGTAAATTTTTTAATCTTTTTTCTTCATCTTCTTGTAGTTTTGCTTGCTTATCCTCGTTCTTATATTGCTCCCTCGTCCATATTTTTTGAATTTTTTTTAACTGAGATTTACTAGCCGGCTCGTATCTCCTTTCACTATCTCGTGAATCTTGGTAAATCAATGGAAAAGGCTCTTTCCCAGCATGTCTCATTGCTTGTAGAATTGTCTTGAAAGGATTTTGTTCAGTACCATCTCCAGTTTCGTCGTTACCGGTTTTTTCAGATGTATAAATTTCTCCTAAAAAGAATGCAAGGGACATTATATACAAGTATACAAATTTTCATCAAATAATTATAATTTAAAATATTTTTATTAAAAGATTATTGCAATAGAAATAGTTATATCTTTTAATATATATCTAAGTAACAGCAATTTGTAATGTTTTACAATATTTTTTAAATACAATCTGCAAATGTGTAAAAAATTGTATCATATCACTAATCATATATCATAGTCATTTTTACCTTATGTTATAACCTTATAAACACATACCTAAAGTTAAGTTGGATAATTTCGGCAATGTTTTATCGGGCATGGTGAACATATAATTGTCCTCCAATTCTCTGCAAAAAACTTAGAAAATAATTTATTATAATTTTATTTTAATTCAAGATGCATAAGAGTACGTATAATCAAGATCAAATCAAATATATTTAAAAGTTAATCTCCTATTTTAAGAATAAAACATATAATATTGTAAATTAAATATTTAAAAAACTAACAATTTTTTAGTTTCGTTTATACTCTTCCAATGAAGTTAATGTATCTTCTGATCCTTTAATTCCTTGGAAGAATCCTGTACATATATTTCTTACTATTAAGCACAGCATGCGCAGTATTCACTTGCCGAGTCAATCTTCCTTTTCCTTATATTTTTTTTTCTTTTTATTAAAAGTTGCCGTAATCTTTGCAGTTTATTGGTCAACAGGCTTTTGATTTCATATGGCTCTTTTCATGTTCACTTATGATACTTTTGTCCAATAACGCATTGTCCAATAGCAGTTGTGGAACAGTAGAGTAAAAGTAGTGGAAGAGAAAGCAAGTAGAAGGTATAGTAAAGTGCAGTCTCACCAGAAATTCTCGTGGTGCATTTCTTTCTCCCTAGAAGCATATTTTTGTTGTATATGTGATTGAAACTATTACAGTTCTGTCATAGTTTGTTGAGTTATATTATGCATAATACGTAAATAACAATATGGATGTTTACGAAAAATCATTAAATATATTAAATTGCTCTCCAACAGCTACAGTAGAGGAGGTTAAGAAAGCTTATCGTAAAAAAGCTTTATTATGCCATCCGGATAAACATCCTGATAATCCTCGTGCCACAGAACTGTTTCATGAAATTTCTAAAGCATTAGAAATATTAACAGATTTATCTGCACGAGCTGCTTATGAAAAATGGCTTGTCGCTAGAGAACAATCTAAACTTCGTACCAAAGAACTTAGTGCTAAGCGACAAAAGTTTAAAGAAGATTTGGAAGCTAGAGAGGAAGCATATAAAAATGCATTGAATAACAAAAGTCCATTAACCGAAGAAGAAGAATTGCAAGCTGAAGTAGATAGATTACAAAGAGAAGGTTCAAAACTATTAGAGGAAGAAATAACCCGTATGAGAGAAGAAATAGAAAAACAAAATCGTTTATCGCAAGAACAAACAGACACAAGTTCAAATTACAGAATTAAAATTAAATGGAAAGCAGCTAGTAATGATGTAAACAATGGAGGATATGACTATGATTCTTTGTATCGTATTCTATATAAGCACGGTGATATTGTTGCGCTTGTTTTTTCAACAAAAAAGGGTAGAGCCATGGTTGAATATAAAAATAAGAAATCTGCTCAAAGTGCAGTACAAATAGAATTTGGTTTTGCAAATAATCCGCTAATACTTGAAGGACTATGGTTAAAAGAAAAATCATCAAGTTTTCCAAAAGAAATTTATAAGCCTCAATATGTACCTAATGTAGAAAACAAAATGTCAGATGAAGATTTTGAAGCTTACGAAGCTCTCGTTTTAAATAATTTAAGGAAAGCCGAAGAAAAGAAAAGGAACTTGAAAACATAAAGAATAAAATATTTATTTTTCTAAACTGTAAAAAGTTAAATATAAGATTTCTTCTATTACTTTTTCATTTAATAGTTTAGATTAATATATTTTAATTAAATGTAGCACAAATATGCATATAATTTAGGTATAAATTTCTTGTGATCTTTTTATTTAATGTACAAAATTTCCCTTTTAAAACATTTTTATTTTATTGTATCCTAATTAGTTTTCTTTTCTTATATATATATATATATATATATATATATATATATANTAGAATGTCTATAAGAATAAGACTTGAAAATGAATGAAAAATAAATATTAGATTGCTAATTGAATCACATTAGATGATTCGCGTGAAAGTAAATGTTTAATTGAAAGTTCTAAATTAAATAAAAACAAAAATATTTCTTAAATTTGTTATATTACGAAAAACAACAAATAAATTCATTTATGCAATGAATAATTTAAAATTTCTTTCAATCTCAAACTTTTTGTAATAATTAACACATAGATATATCAATTTATTCATTTGAACATTAAATCAGAAATTGCAGTCATATTAAATAATATTACGCGTATTAAATTACTCATGAGTAAGCATTATATATTTTTTTGAATATAGAAATTTTAAGATAGTTAAATCACAAATTTGTTATCTTTGGTTGTGTGTCTGTTAGACAACGGTACTTCCGGGATGATTATGTACATAAACTCATACGAATGAAATTGCGGTTTATGTAATCTACATTTCGTATCATAATTTCGTATGAAATACGATGTTTAAATATTGTTTAACTAAATATTTAATAAGTGAATGTTAGACATAGTACTTGTCTGTTACATCTTTGAATGATGTATTCTCGATTAGTTGATTAGTATAGTCGATTAGTGAATGATACATGTGTAGGAGAAATAAATTATCTTCGGAATATTTATATCGATCGATAATAAATTGTAATTAAATGATTCGATGTAAAAGGTAGAATTAGTAGTAAATAATTAAAGGTTATTATCCGATTAACCACGTGACTATGTAAGTGACCGTCAAATTTTGCATTGACTGATTAGATTCGCATACATGTATTCTAGTTTATCAAAGTATTGTGACGTTTAAAGGGCAATGGCGGGGTTATTGATTGCAGGTGAACGTGACCGCGCAAGCTCTGTTTCCTTCAATGAAATGTCGTGCTTGCATATGGAACCGCGAACAAAGATACAACGATAAAAACCTGTGGGTAAAACACCTACAGTTGTGATGATCAAAATGTCATTTAGTTTGACTATTAGTGTATGGCTAATTATTTTTGGTGCCCTAACAAAATTCACCTATGGAGAATTTGAATTTTATCAGGGTAAGTTTTGATAATTGGTTTATTTCCTTTTTCGCATATAACGTGATATGATTATTAGTATGCAACTAATTTAATTAACTGCCTACATTTCGCATTCATATATAATATATATATATATATATATGTATACATATACATATATGTAAAGTGTATATTCTTCCAACTGTTCTTAGTTGTTTAATTTGTTAAATAATTGTGTTTTAACAATGATTAAATTAAAGAGCCCTTGCGATTTAATTAGATTACATATTTGCATGAAGGACGTAGTTCTTTGTAACATCTAAACATTATGTGGTGTTATCTAGAAATGTTAGATAGTTTTATTTCTTACTGATTATATTTGTATTTAGATGCAGTTCCCGAAGCGCCACAAGATATTACCGCTTTAAAACAGTTTGCTGAATACATTACAAATCAAAATCGTAAACAACACATGCATCATTCATATTTACTACCACTTCTGACCTCACAGATTCACAAGAAACATCATTTGGATCTTACCGATCAAGAAAAGCATGAAATTTTTAAGTCATTAAAAGAAAAATTTCATTTCAATGATAGATTGAGAGAAGAAAGATTAACACCATGGAATTACATTTCTCAGATTCAACATAGCGATCTAAAACAGACATTGCCTAAAAACGATTATAATTTCTTATATTATGATACGAATCCGATGCTTAAGAACGTTAAATATTACTTTAATCCTAAACTATCTTATTATAATAAGTTTATAAAAGAAAATCCAAAATACAGGGATATAGATATTGCATATATCCAAGACAAAATGTTTCCAAGAGAATCTCTGTATAATCCAGAAATTGATGATAATGTTAACAAACAAGTTATAGTAAAGAAGTATTTGAATAAAAATAATCTCATGTCTAGAAATAGACAAACAATAGAAGAAAATAAAAGCTTTATACGACAAGTTGAACAAATACAACCTGTTGAACAGATACAACCAGTTGAACAATTACCTAAATTCACATATTATCTTGATGATCCCGATATAAAAGATAAAAATTCATTTGCTATTAAACCTAATGATCCTAGGTATTATAAAGATACCATTTTTAATGTTGGTAAGGTATAACATGTATTTTGATAAATATCGTTTACTTTAGAATGCAAGGAGTAATACTTATTATTTTACATAGATGTTAAAAGTAATGAGGAATATCAAGAGGTGACGTTTGATCCAATAACCAGTACAGAAAATTTATTAGTCGAATCAACTACGGTAAAACAATTAACGGATACAGATATCAAGAAGCACAATGAAATAAAAAATATTAGTGTAGAAACGTTAATGAAAGCAGAACAATCTGAAGAAAATCGTCCTTTTGTTGTTACAATTGCTCAAGATTTAAATAATGATATATATTTTATTGGTAAGATTACTATTAGTAATTGAACAAACTAGAAGTTGCGATTAAATTTGGAAAATATTCTTCAGTGTCAATATCTACGAAATTTTTATTCTAATTATATCCGCTTATTATATATAACATCAACATTTATTTTTAGCTGTTATTGCTGGTTGCAGTGCAGCGGCAATGTTCATTTGTGTATTAATTAGTTTAACGTGGTGCAGGTAATATTTATAGATTTATCTTTTGATAAATTAATGTCAAAGTATTAATGTACTTTAATATATATTTATGTCAGGTTGCAACGTGGAGTAAAAGCAGCTGCTGATATAGAATATCCAGCTTATGGCGTAACAGGTCCAAATAAGGACATATCACCTTCCGAAGACCAAAGACTTGCTCAATCTGCACAAATGTATCATTTCCAACATCAGAAACAACAGATTATCGCTATGGAAAAGTTTGTATTCATATTGTAATTCCATGAAGTTTTATTTAACTTAAGTTTCTCTGCATTTGAAACTGTACCTGCTTATAGTCGTACCTCTGCAACTAGAGATCCAGGGTCTGTATCTGAGGCTGAAAGCGATGAAGAAAATGAAGAAGGTGACTACACTGTCTATGAATGTCCTGGCTTAGCTGCGGTAAGTTATTATTATTCCTTTATTACAATTATTATTATTAGTATTATTATTATTAAAGTGGTTTTGTTTCATTTTTCTTAAAGACTAGTGAAATGGAAGTAAAAAATCCTTTATTTAATGATGAGCCAACTCCAGCTACACCAGTGCATACTAATAAAGAAGAGGACCATATGTAGTTTCAGTAAATTGCAGCCAAATTTACTTTTAAAATCTTCTGTGGTGCTTAGCTCATTGTTAATGTACCATATCAAAAATAGCTATCTGTATTAAAGGTACAAAATTTTATTATTATTATTATTAATATTATTATTAATTTTATTATTATATGGGGATATCCATAAGAAAATATTTTAATGAAAACAAACGTACGAAATATGATTGCAGTTTTTAAAGCAAAGATTTTTATATGATCATTTTTTTTTTATTTTTATTTAAAACATATCTTTTTCTCTATGACATAAATAGTATATATTTTCATAACGAGAGATGATTCAATACGACTATACAGCAAGCTTTACACAGAATGTTGCATTTTATGTTGCATTTTATGTTGCATTTTATGTTGCATTTATATTACAAAATATTACATACAGAAATAAGATTCTTTATTGCATTTATTTTCATTGAAGTATTGTGATTATTTGTAAATTATTTTATTCATATATTATAACATTTTATAATTTAATTCTGTATGGAAATTTTTTGAGAACTATGCGCATTCATGTATTAATATATAAAACGAACAAAATGCAAGAGTATTAGTCCAATATAAGACAGAATTACGACTATGAATAGAAATAAGTACTTGATTTATATTACGGGATTTATAAAATTTACTATTTTTAATTTTTTTTAATTTTCTATGATCAATAAGCACTTATATAAATGAATTAATTCAATGCTATTTGCATGTATTTCTTATGATTGTTATAATAGAGATGGAAATCTAATATGTGCAAATTATAAAATGAAAGAAGGCATATACGATATAAATTATAACAACAACGTGCAGGGTAATTCCTAAGTCATACATTAATTTATAATCAAAGATCTTAAACATAACTGGATCATACAAATTTTTTGGTTAGCTTTTTTATTATAGTGCGATGTATGATGTATGCTCCATAAATGATTGTTTCTTTTTTTTGTAAGTTTATTTATTTTTTATTTTTGATACTGCAAATACAATATTTCCGAAAGTAATAGTAATCGTATAATACACGTATAAAAAAAGAAGTACTTTTTGAAAGTATTTATCAAAATATTAAAGTTAGGAGTACAATGGAGTCCATGGAGAAATTAAATTTATAATTTTTGCATTTATATTATCTATGTGCTATAAATCGTGCAATGTGTTAGTAAATGCAAATATTTTTTTAACAAGCTTGTAATTTTGCAGAGCTCTATTTTTCACAAATATTCCCTATATTCCTGAAACTAATAACTAATGCCATGAAATAGAAAAGAATATTTTTGAAACTTATTTTTTAAGTTATTATATTACCAAAAAAGAAAAATAACTAGTCAAAGCTTAGTATAATATTTACTTCGTACATTTATTTTATATACTTACAATTATTTAAACAATTTTCAAAGATTGTAATGTCTATTGTTTAAATTATTGAATATATTAAAATCAAAGCTTAAAAGATAACAAATGATCTTAATTTATTATAAAGTTAATATAATAATTAACTATTTTCATTTATCTCGTTAATTCATATAAATTATTTAAAATTATAATACTGATTTGATAATGAAACTTTGGTTTACATCTGAAATGAAATATATGAGAATAATTTATTATTATTTAATATATATAATATAGCACTTGTTGCTAAAAAAACAAAAATATTTTATTTTTATATAAACGGATTGTTAGCTGTATAGAGAGTTTATAAGATAAATACTATATTGCTATTCTTATTAATTTTATAGCATGAAAAAGAATTGTCATTATTATATATATACATATATATTTTACCATATTAAATTATTTGCATTTGAATAAATTATAATGTTAAAACTAAACTCAACCATGGAGGGCACTAACTCTAGAACACTTACTAAAGTTAAACTTCTTAAAAAATAATACATCACATACAAGAACAAATGATTTATTCAATAAAATATCTATCATTGTATTTAATATGTAAACATTATGTGTTGCAGCATGGGTCTAAATTTGTACTCCTCTAATCTCTTTAGAATCTTTTAATATGTATTAATAAATGTAATACTATATATATACATACAAAGATACTATACGTGGTCAATCTCTATACAAATGAATTTTTCAGTTTTATTATTATTTCATTAAACTACGATCTCATTTTTCTTCGTATATATATATACATACATACATATATATGGTGTGTTAATATTGTTCAATGGAATATGACATTAAAGTTAGATTTGCAAATATAAATTTAAATATTCTCATTACAATATTTTATGTTGCAAAGTATATATAAAATATAAAGATATTGTTCGACAAGTTTATAAATAAATTATATCATAATTAATATTATTTGCTCTTCCACTATGTAATGTTAATTACAAAACATATGTAACATGTTTTTATTTTAGTAAATAAATTTTTTCATTTCATAAAACGGAATTCAAATAACATATTATAATATTAAATCGAATGTTTTTTGTGTTTTGTACTTTGTATGAATCACATACAATTTTATTTATTAAAATGACGTTTTTTATTATTATAACAACTCGCATAGAAAATATAGCGAACTTAAACTAACTGGTTCATATATAATATATATAATATAAAACTATGTTAATACTTCATTAGATAATTAATGATCTCAGAACAACTGTATTAAAGTTTGCAATGGAATAGTGTATGGCACAAAAATATACGCAGAACATTGTATTAATATAAAATTATCAAAAAAGAAAAGGAGGTTGTGTGAAATATGCTACGCATTAAATAGCTTATGCATTTTTATTGTTCTTTAGTTGGACTCCACGTTAAGTAATCGAGTTTAGTTGCTGCTTGATATTCTTTTACTAAATTTTCAACAACAGCTCTTGAACTATCCAGTTCGTCAAGATTTTCTTCAAACATTTTTTCTTTTCTAAACTGTTCTAAGAACGCTTCTCGTTTACGTAATTTGTCATACTGTTGTAATGCTCGATCAAAAAGCTGAAATAGTATACATAAATAATGAATGCTATCAATCCACAGATTTTAATAATTTATATAATTCTCAGTATATTCATATCCATTTGATTTCTATCCTTTGATTAAGAGTGTTATTCAAGTATACTTACCGATGATATGTTAGTATGATTGGCTAACATTAAACCTGATACACGATGTGTACTTTGTATATATGGTGATTTTCTAGAAAGAGCAACTTGTATACTAGCAGGTCCCCATGGTATAAATTGTGCTAACTTTCGTTCTCTTATTCTTTGCAAAGATTTATGCACTTGTGTGGGATCGACTTCACCCTATTTAAACAGATCGCTATTAATTTTGTTTGTGTATAATTCTAATCTTGTATTTCTATAATAAAAATACAAGATCATGATTGAACTGCTGGTATTTTTAATAAATAATCGTTCTATATTATTGAAGGATAATACATATATCGATATAAATTTACCTGTATAATGTTTAAAATAGATATGTAGCAGTGAGCAGCATTTCTATCTAATGCAGCAGAAACCATCATGTTCTTTGGTTGCAGTAAACGTCGCATCACATCCAAAACAGATGTTTTCCTTACAGATGCACCCTGTTATCATATACATATATAAAAGATATAAATAACTTCAAAATATATTCGTATATTTTTGATTTATTTTGTATAAGCTATTAATTAATGTGATAAAAAATCGAATTTAACTATGCACTTAATATAATATTTACATGTACCTCCTGGTCTGTAGTAATAGGTGTATATCCTGTCATTAAAAAGTGTAGACGTGGTGTTGGTATCAATGGAGCAATTAAGCTAACTAAATCATTATTCATATATGAAGGGTACCTATAAAACATTGTATATGAAATATATCCGAAGTGAGCATAAATCAAAATACAGCTCAACGTACAGAATATATATGAATAAATAAATGAGCAAAAAGATACCTAAGCGTTGTGGTGCTAACAGACATTATTGTAGATACAAGTTTGTTAATTTGTGTGAAAGTAGGATTCTGTATATGCAATCTGTCTGATGCAATTCTATTCAAAGCTGTATTGTCCAAGACGACAACACAATCCGCGCAATGAGTTAATCTTTTTAGCGTTAGTAAAGAATTGTATGGCTGTACCACAACATCGCTAAAAAAGAGACACGATAATAATATAAAACTAACATAATCATACTTAGTATATTATTTAGATATTGTAACTATATATATATATACATCCTAGTAACCTTATTTCATCCTGATTTGGAAAAACGCTATATGTTTCGATCAATTTTTTTGGAAATCTGTCAGCAAGAGATTCCAACATAAAAGATCCCATACCAGAACCAGTACCGCCTGCTATAGAATGACAAAAAACAAAACCCTGAAATAAACATACGCACGTATATTTATATATCTTTTAAATATATTTATACGTTAATTATTAAATTGTGTGTGTGTATACCTCTAAACTATCACTTCCATCTGCTTCTCTATCTAAAATATCAAAAATTTCTTCTTGTAATTTTTCTCCTTGATGATAGCCAGAAGCCCAATTGTTACCAGCTCCTCCACCATGTTTCGATAAATATATATTTTCTGGATTATAGAGCTGAATAGTTAGAAGATTAGTAAAATATTATTTGAAATATAGAAATATATGTACGAATTATTTGTATGAACTAGTTATATTATTAGAAATTTACTTTTGAATATGGAGAATTCATAATGGTATGAATTACTCTAGGTTCTAAATCTAATAATACAGCTCTTGGTATATAATGTTCATCATCTGATTGATAAAAAAATACATCTTTTCTGTCGGTTCCATCTATAGCATAATCTTCTAAAATTCCTTCTGGACTGATGCCATGCTCTGCACATAATCTTTTCCAAAATTCAAATCCAACTGAAATCAAATATAAACATGAAATAATATTAAATTTATTTATCAAAAATATGATACGAGATTAACAGCATATAACAAACATAGTTAAGTATTTTAAGTAATGCAAGAAACTGATTCAATGTTCGTTTTAAAGTTTACATAATATTGAAATATAATCATTGTTTAATTTCCAAAACTCTTTAGTGTAATATCTTGTAGACTATGTTACACATAATGTCATTATAATAGTATATTAATATATGTTTTATTATGTGAAATGACGTATTCCTTACTTTGATTGCCACATTGGCCAAGTTGAAGTGTTATCATTTCACATGGCATTTTAATTGTAGAAAAATTAGCTTTCAATCTGAAACGTCAAAAAAGATATTTGAATCTTATAATATTGATCAAAAAATAAACAGAACACACATTTGATATAGACAAGAAAGTATATAGATTAAATATATTATCAACGGATAAATATGAATTTAAAATGTAACAGGATTGCATATACAGGAATCTACATTATTAACAGCGATAATTTGTTTTCAGAATCTTTGTGAATACTTTACAAATTTACATATTTTAATATTCTTTCTTTGATACAAAATTATTCGAAAGAAATAAAAAATAATTAATAACGATCAGACAATATTCATGTCAATAAATTTCATAAAAACATAGCATAACTTAATAATAATGCATTTCAATTTAAAATTAGCGCCAAAATATATTTTATTTTTCTAAAAGCGAATTATCCCTGTCGGTAATTCAAATTCGTATAGATAAAATCTTGTTAAATGTCGCATGTACATTTATCTGTTGATAGTATTTTAATTTAAATAATTTACTTTTTTAAAGTAAAACTTAATAGGCGATGGTAATGATAACAATTTTATGAAATAATGTGAAAAAAGGGGAACATAGAGGTAGATAGGGAGAGGGAGAGAGAGAGAGCGAATCAACAATTGATGTGTGCATTGTATGATGTGTGCATTGTATGTATGTGTGCATTGTATGTATGTGTTGTGTGTGTGTGTGTGTGTGCAGTTTGTATGCATCCGATACATCGATCGGTAGTTATTGCGAGATGCATTTTTTTATTTTATGGAAGGATGAGTGGGGGGGATGTGACATATCTTGAGAATATTCGATATACCTAAAAAGGATTGATAATTAATCGAAAAAAATGCGTATTGCAATTTAGAAGCACTGGGTATATGTTCGGAGCACCGTCCTCTTCGAAATTCGCCGTTGAACTGAGTCATTGTCCTCTGTGAAATTTCTTTTATTGAAAGTTGTTTATATGACTTTCCTTAAAAGGAAATTCTATTTATTATCGTTACACATATGTAGCCTACGGGGAAAGTCGTATAAATAAAATTTAATAAAAGAACTTTCACAGAGGACAATGAACCAGTCTAACGACAGATTTTGAAGAGGACGGTTCGTCGAATTTATACTCAGTCCTTTTCAACTACAATACACGTTTTTTTCGACTCTTTATCAATAAATTAAGGTATATCTAATACACTACTGTACTTTAATAATTTTTTTCATTCAATACATAAAATAATTTTAGGATACAATTCTATTATAACCCTTCATTTATAATGGACTTAGAATTTTTTTAGTCCTCTTATACGGAGTAGACACACAGTTTCATTTTTTTTTTTTAATAAATAAGTAATATTTTTTCCGCTTATTTCGTTTAATTGTAAAACAAAGTTATGAAACATATAAATATTTCTTATTAATATATAAAATCACATATTTTATATAAGCTTATATATTTTTATGGGGTACGATTTGTTAAATCTTACCCTACATAGTTATAAGAAATCGTATCTAAATGCATGTCAGAGTATAAATATATAGTTTTCAAAAATGATATAAAAATTTAGATTACAGATATTTATATGGATTTTAAAAATACTATTTTCTAAATATGTACAGGGAAATTGATCACCCCATAATTTATAAGAATGCATAATGGACATAGTACTTAATATAATCATTTATATCTTACATCTTATATAAAAATTATTTCGTGATATAATAAATATATGCAGCACTTAATATAATATATAATATTTATAAAACTTAATATACACACACATATTGATATTCTTATGAGTATTATGTTTGATACTAATTAAAGAATAATGCAAATGCATAAAAAACAAAAAGTATATTTAAAATCAATCGTCTTATCTATTATTTTATTTCCGATCAAAATTTGATTTAAAATAATTAATAACGTACGAAGAATATATAAAATGCGTTGATTGTGGCAGCTGTAAAATAGTTTCCTTTGGCACTATAATAACAAGCAAGGAACAATACATAGATGGAACATAAAAAAAAAAAAGAAAAGAGACGAAATATATAAAATGTCATGTGATAAATGTGATTCTCATAATATGATAAACCTGAGTCATTCGATCATAAATAAAAAACAAAAAAAAACATTATAATGTTAAAGATTATTATTGCCAAGTTTGACGATGAATAACGTTATCGAAAATTATTTATGAAAATTACTTCATTCTCATATAATAAAAAGGGACGATCAATTTTCTTAATTTATATCGATATTTATAAGAAACGAAAAAACACAGCCACTATTCCAACAGTCAGCGATAAATTATGTAAAATTGCTTCACTTCGGGAATAAGCATCAACGATGTATATTTTCCATCCCATATTGGCATGAGTAAAGGAATTATAATAAACGATATCCGGCCACGTGGTATTAGGTGTAACTTCTAGAACACCTCCTTCGCCTATGAAAATATGATTATACAATAAAATCATTAATAAAATCGTATAATTTTGTTTTACAGAAGATACATTCAATCCAAAATTTACCAGGTTCGCAAACGTATATGAGACTCCTGTTAAACTTTTTGAACGATGGAAAATCATCATCTAATCTTCTGTCTCTACCGTCATGTTTGCTCAAACAAAGTGGACCCACTGTAAGTGAGATCATAATTTAATAAAATCTATCAATTGGTATAAAGTGAATTTTGTGTGTGTGTGTGTGTGTGTTTGTTTGAAATAATAATTTTCTTATTCAAAGTACCTGCCGTTGGCCTTGGTCGGCCTCTTCTCGTAAATTCAACACCGGCCAATACTCTTACTTTGCTTTGTGCAATGTCGCTGAGCCTGTCGTAACCCCCGTGTGGTTCATCCGTGATAATTAAAGGATGATACAAATTAGGACTGTGAGGATTATTACCCCCGTGGATAACGAAGTTGTAAGTTAATCCTCTGCGTAAGTACAATTCTGGAATTAATTGACCCTCGATATACCACGCGTATCCCATCGATGTTTGTCCTGTTATATACAAATTTTGATCATACTAAAAACATTATTAATTAAATTAGGGGGAAAGTGATTAAACGGGTGTATCAACCTGTTATTCCTCGGTAACCCTTCTTTCCTCCGGATGGTCCAATAGTAGCTTTAAAAGTTCGGATACTTCTATCGAATATTTCTGCCTTGTCCCAAGGTATCCTAAACAAAAAAATGTTCATACAAATGAAATAAATTTCAGTATATTATTAATTAGTAACGAAGTCTAATCCTTACACAAGCTTATCATTATTTTCCGTAAAATCCATACAGGTATTTTCCGGTTCCTGACGATTAAGTTCCAATTTTAAGTCACCTTTAGGATAGAAATCATGAAAATTAGGTTCCTTATTTTCATCTAATCTTCCCAATGCCCAAATCACATAAACCGGCCTATCCGTAGGATATTCTTTGTCTCCTGCATCAGCTGAAAATTACAAATTGTTATTAGTTACAGTTTATCGTAATTATTATATCACATTTGTACTTACATGAATTAAGGGTTCGCCTATATGTAACGATATTGATGCCATTTTCTCTTATCGCGGTATACATTTGATTGCTGTCTTGTCCACCCAATAGTTCATCTTTGCAAACACCCTTATACTGTCCAAGAACTTTTCCACACTGTTTTACAAATTGTCAGTCATTGTAAGTCATTTCTACGGGTTTTTATTTTGGTTTTTTTTTTTCAGTAAAAATTACGAATGTAAATACACACGTACCGGTGCTTTTGCGGTAATATTATAATCGGTGGCATAACCACGCGTACCATCCATATAAGCAATGGTAACATCTGCACCTTCCATTTGACTGGAACTTTCAGAACCGGATAAACCGAAAGCCATGTACTCGTCTTCGGCTATGTTTGTTAAAGTTAAAGTTTAAATATCCGATATAATAACTCAATTAATTTGAGATGAGATAATCAAATTACTTACCAACTTGACCAGCTAATTGAATTGTAATCTGGGGACCAAAGATTTCCCAGCTAACTTGATATCGTTTATGAAGTTGAACACAATTCGGTAATGATTGCGTATGCTTGACGACCTGTCGATCGATAATACGTTTAATAAATTTATTTTAAACAAAAGTGAGAGTCATTTTTATATATATATATATCGCGACAAAATAATTATTTTACTTTAACTAAAGACGGTGGTACGTTAAGACCGTCTGGTATAATAATCGAGCCATAATTCGATTTAGTTTTAACGTCAAATACGCTCAACCAATCGACGTTAAATACGGTCATTTCTCCTGGCAATTGAATTATTATATCCTCTTTTTTATAAGCACGCAGTGGATCCAAACTGACGAAAAAGAAATGAATAGATGACGAAGATATACCTCAAACAAAATTTATTTATATGAATATCATTTATTCTACTTACTATCCATACTCGTCGGGAACTTTGGTTCCTTTACTCGAAGGTTGTGGGCCTAAACCAACCCAGAAAAACGTATCATTCCCGTTCCCATCGTACGTGAATTGCGGTATACTAATTGTCTTAGAATCCAAGATCACTATCGACTGAGATGATACATCGTGAGATCTTTTTGATAGTTGAGAGATCTTTTGTGGAGCTGGTGGATCAAATTCTTCAGGAATATAAACATCGCCGAACGTGTTCTACGATATCGAAGATAATTCGTTCAAAATTAAACGGGTAAAATAATAAATAATTTAAAATGAATTTTGTATAAAACAACAACCTGACTAGCCAAATCGTATACGGCGAACCATTTGATATCCGTTATCTTTTTGTTTTCCGGCAAAGACAATGTAAAATCCCGATTAAGATAACGACCGAGTACGTTTGTCCTAAAAATCATTGTAAAAAGTTAAAAGGCATGAAATTTAAGAGAATTATTCAAGGTTGCTTACTTGCCCCACTCGTCAGGTACGATGAAACCTTGAGGACCTGGCCGATTTGATGCACCAGCCCAGAAAAATGTATCTGCACCGTTACCATCGTAACTGAAGGAAGTTAGAAGCAATGTGTATTCATCTACAGCATATAATTCACCAGATACCTGATGGTGATACGCGTTCAACCTTCCAAGATACTTTCCCCTGTACTCTTCATCATTTTCCTGCGCTAAACCTGTCGATCGGATTACACATATTGTTAAATCGATATAATTAGGTTTATTTACCCATTCACTCGGATTTATTTTATAAATCAAGCTTTTAAAAAAGAACATAAAGTTCTCGTAAAATCGATTTGTTTAAAACAAATATTTTTCATGCAATCAAGAAAAACATAAAATTATTCTTCTAAACAATGACGCGATCCATATCGTTCTATTTATTACATTATAGTGACTCATAACTTGGAATTTGAAAGTCGTGAAATCGAATCGATCAACATTCCACCCTTTGTTTCGAAAAAAATCGAACAATGATTGAAATAAAAAAGTGTAATAAAAAGAAACAATATAATTTGTGATAGTCTCTTAATAGAAAAAATGCATCGATTAGGAGGAATGATCGTGCCTGCTGTTCGATCAATGACACGTACCGTTATAAGAGAAAAACAGACACGCCATAAGAGCGCACGCTCTCCACGTTCTTATGGTATTTGCCATAGCTTCATTTTATCGAGCTTCCCCACGAAGTTCAGGAAAATGTGAGTTGTGAAGAGAAGAACGAGAAATATTGATAAGCTATGCGTAAAATGATAATATCGAATTAAATAATAATGTTAATTTACTTCGATTAATTATTATAAAAGAGAATTGTCACTCGCACTCGCGTTTCAGATACGAAACGATACGAAATGAAAGGAACGACGATACGAATGGGGAAGACCGAAGTTAGTTTGTTCAACCGGTTGGTTGGTTGGTTGGTGATTCGTTATTTGAAACGAAGTATCTCGGTAGAAAGTAGACTTCAGTTCTCCGAATGGTTAGTACGCGAGCCAACGCACCTTCAACTGGCTTTGCTCAAGTGGTTTCAGCCTTCTTTTCAGAAGAGAAAGTATATGCACACTGCGTTAAAACTAGCTGCACGTATCTCTCAACACTGTTTCGAGTTGAGTCTCATGTCTTGTTTCGATTTTCATCGAATCAACCAACGTTCCTTCCTTCGATAATCAGATCTTGACTTATAATAAGTTTCAATGACCCAATCATTTATTAAAATATACAATAGTATTTCCGCGCGAGATTTATTTATTTATAATTCATTTCAAATCGGATCTCCGCTTTTTTACGCATCGTTAATATTTTTATTTTATTTTTGAATTTTTTATTTTTTTAGAATTTAAGCTAATCAACGAGACGTGTTGCACGTACGTTGTAAGATTAAACGTTTATTACGGAATGATGTTATTTAACGTCAAATAAGTTCGTTGTTTTTTCTAATGCATTATAATAGTAATTGTAACACTGTACAAGGTAGATACGTTTGATCGATTTAAATAGTCACGCGCAGAACGGTGCATGATACATTATTCAATTTACTTACGTTATTCCGTTGGTTGTTACAAATCAAGTATATCAATGATTTCAAATAATTCGATATTGTCTTTTTACGATGGTCAGTCTCATTGTTTCGTTAAAGATATTTTAGTGCCCGGTTATACCATCGAAGAGGAACTCATCAGACTCGTTGGATTTGCTAGCTTAAAGAAGATTAATGATTTCATTTCTAAGATGTAAGTAAGATACGTTAATTGAGATTTCAAGGTATCGTGTAAATTATATTGAGTCGTTCATATTTTCCATAGTTCCAGACATTCAATAAATTTGCATTATCCCACGTTCGACTTAAAAACACCCCTTTTAGAAGTTGTTCGTCGTGGCGATGTTCAAATTTTGGCATTGATTCTCGATAAGATTCCAATCTCTTTGGATGATACAACTACGCAACCCTGTGGAAAAACTGTTCTCATGAGTGCTGCATACACGAGCAGAAATCCGGAAATATTACGATTATTATTAAAAAATGGCGCCGATCCTAATAAACTCGACGTGTGAGCAAACAAAAGAAAAGATATGAGATTTTGTAATCATTTGTAATTTTAATAACGCGTATACGGTGAAACTGTCGTTTAAAATCGTACACCGTTACTTTTATTAGATTTTTTTATTTAAAAACTGTTGATATATTGTGTTTCCGAACGTTACATATGTATAACAAAACTAATATATGTAATAAATAGAATTTTCTTTTTTTGGAAAGTTATATGAACAATATTCAATTAAAGAACTTTCATAGAAAACAATAAAGCCAGTCTAACGGGGGATTTCGAAGAGGACGGTATAACAGACTTATACTCAGTGCTTTTAGATAACAATATACATTTTTTTGATCGATTAATTAATAATTATTTGAATACTTTAATTAACTCAATATATATATATAGGATTGTTCAAACATATATACGTTGGTTTAAACATTACGTACTTATTAATATACTTTAAATATTAAATAATTTCGATTTGATATTCTTCTAGACGAAAATTTTAGCTTCGAAGTCATCACTGCGCAGGACCATTAAAAAAATTACATAAAAATTAAAAGAATACTAAAATGAGAACGTTATAATCTTAAATTTTATTGATTTATCAATTATTCCCTTTATACACATGCGCAATGTTCGGAAAGTCATATAAACAACATTTAATAATTTGATAGAGGACAATGTCTCATTTCAACGGTGGATTTCGAAGAAGACGGTGCTCCGAACATATACCTAGTGCTTCTAAATTGCAATACACATTTTTTTCGATTAATTATCAATCCTTTTTAGGTATATCGAATACTCTAATGTAGTCTATTAATATTTTGAATTGTTTTAACGTTTTTGATCAGTGTTTACTTCGAGTTAAAAATTTTCATCTAATAATAGATATTAGATAGAAATTGTTTAATATTCGAAATATAATAATAAATATGAAAGCTTTTAAATGAAATTAATTAAATATATAATTATAAGATATATTAATGTATTTATTTTCGAAATTTTCTTTATCATATACACACTGTACCAATAGTTTTTAAGCAAAAATCTAATAAGAGTAACGGTGTACGATTTTTAAGAGAAAATTACTATATATATATTTGCAGTCGTAATTGGACTTGTCTTCAATATGCTATAGTTGGAGAACGTATAAAAAACGTAGAAATTCTTTTGGATATCGGTTTGGACATCAATGCTCGAGATTACAATGATCGAACACCGTTAATGATAGCCGGTTAGTATGGGCAGATATAATGAATACGAAAAAGTATTTATTATTAAAAAATTATTATTTAACGATGTAATATAGTTTAATTATGTGTATAATTATTAGTTATTTTATCAAACTTGGACATCGTTTCGCTGCTATTGAATCGTGGCGCCGATTTTACGGTCAAAGATCAAACAGGCTTCACTGCTTTACAACTTGCAATATTACGAAAAAAAAGAGATGCTGCTATTCTTTTAATCGAGAAAGGAAGCAACGTTAATCTACCATTACCACTGACCAAGATTTCGCTTAAAAAATTGTCCGAAATTACGTTGCCAAAGTTATTACCTTTTATTCAATACGATGATGACGTTCTCGATTACGACGATCAAGATTGAATGTAAGATTAAGATGATAAAACGATTAGTATTTTCATTTTTGTCAATTTTCTATCGTCTACGACAAATATTATAGATAATTATTATTAATATTTCATATATTATTATAAATTTTCGAATGTGTATCTAAATAAGTAGATTTTTTATTAAAATATATTTCTCTTAGAATTTAATCAGTTCGAACAGCAATTAGTTGGAAAACACGAACTCATTCAAAGATCAATTAAATGAAATGAAGACCAACAGGATCGAACATTTTTTTGGTCAACTGATCAAATTTTTCTACTATGTCAAATGACAATTTTCCCTTCCATTGATTAACTTCTCCGCTTCGGATAAACGTACCATCAATGACAGTTAGTTTAACTTTCTTGTAACTCTCGATTATGTCGTCATAATTAACCGAAGGATTATTTTTCATATTCGTGAAACTTAAATGCTTGGCTAAAGTTTGCACCTCGTCATCCGTAATTCGTTTATTTAAAAATGTTGCTGCTTTCTTAATTATCGACGGAAGATCCTGCAAGTATTATCTTGATTTAAAACAGTACACTGTAAATACGATGAAAATGCTTGAAAACAAAAAAATTTGTCGTTAACTAGCAAAAAGATCTGTTTCACTTTTCTTTTCTTGTTTTACATTTTAACGCAACGTTTTAATGGTCAAGATAATTGTAGAAAAAAAATTGCACATTCTTTAGAAAAATAATAACTCGTTCGTAAATATTATATTACACTTGATTACTTACAGACTTCATGTCTTCGTATTTCAAGAACAAAATGTTCATGTCGTTTCTCTTGTTCCAATAACCAAGGACGTGTTTCCAATACGGTGCATAAGAAACTGACGAAAAAGATTATAAATACGATGCACGGTTGTTATAAGTCTTATTATTTCGAATCGTAAAAAGGAAACAATTTGTACCGTTCGAAAAAAAAAAGGAACTCACGTTTTCCACCCAAGAATAATTGACAGAATTCGTCGAAATCACCGCGATAGCCTTCGATCAATTTGCTATGATGAAAATAAGAGATACACGTATCCTTTGGATTTCTGGCAACATTGATAATGCGTGCTTTCTTCTCGCCAGATCTTAATTGTCGTGGAAGTAGATGAAATGGTAAATGGGTTTTGATATATCTCGGACTTGCTTGATTTTTCGTAAAGTTCACACTATTTTTCATTGTCTCGTGATTCGATAAATTTGAAATATGCGACAACGTGCATCTTTCAAAGTCGTAAATAATTGAGACCCTAACATGACGAATTTTTCATTATTTATTATCAATGTTGGATGATTCATTGAATGATTTCAATTAAATCGGGGGAAAAAACTTACTCGAAGAATGGAAATCTCTCGGACAATAATTGTTTCGCGTTTTCGAAATTCAAATCGTTACCGATGCACCAAATCATTTCTTGCGTCCACGTGGTACCTGATGATTCAATCATATAACAAATTAAACATATAAATAATATAAAATGAAAAGTAATCAAGAGTGTCCTAAATTTTAATTTTATTTCAGCACTTTTACCTACGATTGTACATCCCAAACATCCCTAAGTTATTCATTTAACTAAAAAGAAAGTAAGAAATTTAATGCGTACAAGGATGCATTGGTTCAATTCTCACCAGTTTTTGGAAAGGTACAGACCCAAACATCGTCATCTCTGATCTCAAAATTTTCTATTTCTTCCGCAAAATGTTTATAACGTTCTGGTAAACAGACATCCCCCACAGTAACGTAACCACTACGAAATTCTGAGGTAAACTTTTCCTTTAGTATTCGATCTAATGTAACATTAGTGTTATCTATTTGCGGAGCCATTTTTTTCGCTGTTATTCAATAAATTCTACTCGAATACTTGATTGCTTGGATGTGAAAAATGTAATGTAAAAGATGTAATATGTAATGTTGAGTATACGGAACTGTGTTTTCACTGAAATATTACCACAAAGAATTCTTATGTTTTATTTTATCTATAATGATCGTTGATAAGGGATGATAATACGGATTTCTCCAGAACTAGAGAATCAAATTTGTACATTAGAATCAAATATATGATTGCATAAGACGATAAAACGTTCAAAAAAGAGAATAGAAAATAGAATTAACTATTAATAATTAAGAAAAATCTTGGGTGTCGAGAAGTAAAACTTTACTGATTGATTTGAAAGCTATATTCGCTCGTTTATATATGGTACGGAGAGAGATAATTTCAGAGAAATCAGGATATGAGTACCAAGTAATTATCGGTAATTCTTTTTTTTTTTTTTTGATAGTTTAGCGCTCGTACAAGATTGTTATGTTATTTAAAACAGGTCATGGAAATAAATTGTTTTTTTTCGTAGAGGAAAAAGTGTTCACATGAAATAAACTTCTTAATTAATCATATCACGAAAAAAATCTTTAATTGAAATGAAAATAATCTGAGTAAAGTAATATGTTCTTTTTTTTCTTATTTTTTAGACATAGGTACATTAAAAATCGTACAAAAAAGATAAGAATACATTAAAATACAATCTAGAACTGTTAATAATAATTTTTCTTAAAACTTACATCTAATAAATTTATTCTGTACTTCATTTCAGGTACTAACTACTTCTAGTTTCATAAGCGTTTCAAATTTTTCATAGTCGATGATTCGCTCTAACCAGAATAATTTCTTGTTTGTTTTCTTGCAACGCGATTAACAAATTTGATTATTGATGACTAAATTAAACAGGTCCATCTATTTACTGAAATAGTATACTAACTTTGCTTGGGTATATAAGAAAATATCTTGGCAAGACAAGAGCAAATTAATCTCATATAAATACTTAAACTAATACTTCGGTTATGCAAGGTTTTAATATATTTATGCTATATCTATGCAATGAGAGAGAGAGAGATAATATCTTAAATTTGTTAATTTTCTCGTGAAATTTTTATCATTCACGCGAATGATTTAAAATACGTACATATATAGATGATTGAGGTAAATCATTGACAAAAATATATATATATATATAAATTACTAGTACACTCTGTTATATAATAATGAATTCGTAAATCGTTCAATCGGATAAATAAATTATAAAGTAATATTAACAAAAAATTAAAAATTAACACTGGGTATAATTGCATCGAATTAACTATGTAAAAATATTGATGATTATTCTAAGATAAAAACAAAAAAATATAATATAAGCAATATCATTAAATATAAATTTCGAAAAAAAAAAATTAAATATTCACGCGATATTTTTTCATTTCAATGTAAAATTATAAATATATTATATACGTTTAAAAATTATTTCAATGAAAAGAATTATCGTCAGTGAGATTCTAACATTATATATTAGATATCACACTGACACTTTGAGATAGATCCACTTGGCCCCTCAAAACTTTTTGCTGTAATTTTTTACAAAAAATTTTGGCCATGAGCTTATTACGACGCGTTTCTTCTTGCCTTTCTTGTTCTCGTCGCTTAACCCGTACCTCGTTTAGTCTGCGGTAACGTTTACGCAATCGTTCTTTTATTTCTTCGTCAGTAATCCTTTTTTGTACATTAACTAAATATAAAATAATCATTTATTAATAAACCATAAAAAACATTGCAATTAAAAATGATATTTAAAATTACCTGCTGGTTTGTTTAATTTGGGAAATTTAATTGAATTCGATGTACTAGCCATCGCGAGCAATTGAATACGTTTTTCTTTTCTTAATTGTCGAAGATGCGCTATCTCGGACACGTACTGTCTACGCGTTTCAGCATTATTTACAAACTCTGGCTTGTTTTTTGATAAGTAATCCTAAAATAATAAAATGTCAATTAAACATCTCAAATCGATTATAGATAATAATTGAAATATTAAAAACTTTACCTGAAGAGTTGTTTTATCATTTTTATTATTTTCTTTTTGCCTTTTACTGGTACAGGTACACTTCTCGGATTTAATCGCATCATTGATCGTATTAGATAATGGCATCTTTTTTATTGTGCTAATATTTTTTTGACTATTCTCCTTGGTAAATGATATTTCATATGCCACTGGCTTTGGATATGTTTGACGACAATTACATTTCCTGGTGTTTTGATATACCTTGCCGCATGTACGACAGCATTTATAATTTTTATTAGAATCATTGGAATTAGATCCATTAATATCGTTTGATTCCGTATTATGCTTCGTTCTATGACTGTTACTGTCATCTTCTTTTATTTTATTTGGGCAAGAACAATCCTTACTGCAGTTGCATTTTACTCTAGTTTGTACTTTTGGTTGCAGAGAAGTTTCATTCTCTTCTGTGTTAATTAGATAATAAGGTCGAGTATGTATTTGATACCGTTCTGCTTTCGAGCAACTCTCAGAATGATATCTTCTGTTATATTCAGTCTTTAAATTTGAGCAAGTTTCGTGCGACGCATTTGGCATACAACTCTCACTTTCGAGCTTATTCTCATAAGAATAATCTTTCGAGCATCCACATAAATTAACGACTTTCTGTTGGTTATTACAATCAGTTACAGGTCTACTATCTTGAAAACAGCTCCGATCAGATCTCATAGTAAACATATTAGTTTGTGTTTCATCAATTACTTCATTTGTACATTTACATCCATTCATTGGCATGGAAGTACTTTCAGTAGGTTTTTCTTGTTTTTTACAAGTACAAGAATTTCTATATGCACTATAAGTCCTTGCATGACAAAGTTCACAAAAAGCTATATTACCAATGATTTCCATTGCGGGCTTTATGTGTATTGGACATATTTCAGGTTGGGTATTTTGATATGTTGTCTTCTTATTCATTTTATTTATGTCACATTTACATTTATTATGATAAGCCTTCAATGTAGATTGACAATTACACGCGTACTTTGATTTAGATGCATTTATTTGATTTTTAGTTTCTTTTTGTTTTAGTTGATTCTTGCTCTTATCCATATAACGGTGGTTTTGTTGGGATGAACTTACACTATTACTATTTGTACAAGATAATCTTGTTGATTCTGTAGCTGTCTCGCTATCTTCTTTTGTAAAATCATATTTTATAGGAATATGACATCTATTTTTTATCGATGGATTTTGAGACTGGCCTTGTGGACAATATAAACACGCATTTGGTATAGCTTGTAAAGTATCTTTCTCATCTTGTTCTTCTTGATTAACGTATTTGCATTTATTTGATGAATGTGTCAAACTTTTATGAATCAAACATTTTGAGGGATGCGTGGTTCCGTTTTGTATACACGAAGTAATTGGAAATATTTCCTGGTGGTATGTTTGTATACCCGTATTAACTAGTTTCATTGTATTTTGTGCTTTTGATGTTGTTATAATTTCTCCTCCTGTTCTGGAGTGTGCATCAACTACTTCAGTAGCTGTTTGCGACGAACTATTTCGTTTTTTTGTGCGTTGTATATTATTAGTATAATCGGTATCAGTAGAATGACAAGTTGCTAAATTGCAATGTGAAGACCATTGCTCTCCAATGAAATTTCCTTTTGAATTTGATGGATTTCTTAAAATTTGTAAAATTATTTTAATATAATATTAATTATTTATATGCTCTCTTAATTTATAATTTCATTACTTACTTGTAGGCAAAATCAGTATCAACAGATTTTTCCTGCATCATTACATATACTGGTTTCGTTTTAAACAATGCAGGTTTTAATTTTCTTGGCGAACTTTTAGATCTTTCCAGTCTTCGTGGCTGTTCCAATAATCTAGAAAATAACAATATTTTAATGAATATCTTCAATTCATACATTCAACTCCTAATAAGTATAAAATATGTACATATAAAAAAAAACATACTTTTTAAGATTACTAAGATGACTAATTTCATTTGTTATCCAGAGAAGTTGATTTCTTTTCTCCATTTCAGCATAATCGACTAACTTTAAATCTCCTGGATTGGAACTTTGACATCGTTTCAATTCAAATTGTCTTTCCGATAATGTAGTGGGAAATCTCCATTGAGAATCTGTATTATTTTCAATATTTTTACTAGATGAAGTCGAAGTTTTTCTACTTAAAACTGCATCTAATAATATTCTATTGCGATCAGGCGGAGTACTATTCGTAGAAGTTGTATCATTTCGTTGCAATACTTTACATTTCTCTTTCAAACAAAATGCATTCTTCATCTTATTGCCTTTCTGATTTTTTTGTGGAACAAAACATTCCGAGCTTTCACTCCTGTCTGGTTCTGTTGTGGTATTACTACTTTGTGGACAGTCATCAGTTCTTAAACTCATTCTTGCTTTTCTTCCATCCATCTCGGTTCTGTCTGTATTTCCATCAAATTTATCACTATTACTACTTACTAAAGTTTCCTGTGTTATTATTTCTTGATCATTTTTCATAGACTTTGGTATAGAACAACTTTTCGTACTGGTTTTCCAATTATCGGATGAAGTAGTAGTACTATGTTTCTTTTTTGAAGCATGTAAACTTTCAGTTTGATAGACTTTTTGCCTAGCATCATCTGCATGCCACGGTATATTATCTTCTATATTATGATCAATTTTATCATCAGCATATCTGGCTGTTACAAGTCTTTTAACGACGTGATGTATCAATCGTTTTTTAACTTGTTTGTCGCATTTATTGGCATCAACTAAAGATTTAAGTATATTAACGCTTCTTTCCAAATCTCGTACTAAACTGTTAGAATTGCCCCACAATTTTTCGCTTAAACTAGAACTAGTGTTAGGGAAAGTCGAATTGGATTCTCCTGTATCAATAGAAGAAACATGACTACCACTTCTATTTGGAACATTTTCATATATATGACCAGGAAAATATTCGAAACTGTTAACTCTTCCACTGATATTTTCTGCCTCATCAAATTGAGGCGTTAAAGGAATTGATTCACTTTGCGATATATCTGAGCTACTGTGATATGTTTTGTTTCTTGTTTCTTTTCTGACACAAGCAACGCCACTTTTATGATCATTCCTATTTGTTTGGGAATTTTGGATTTTGTATGTACTCTTTGGATTCTTTAAAATAGATTGTAATGATCTTTGCAAACTAGTTCCTCTTTTAGGTAATGGTGGTTTTTCTTCTTCTTGAACGGATACTTGTATACCAACTGATTCTTGAGGAAATGTATTTAAACTTGTTTGTATGACTTTATCACAGGTAGTAGGTTTATTTACAACTGTAGATATGGAAGATGTTGAATTGAAAATTAATGGTAATGTTACCTTGTTTTTATCTTTTGCATATAGATTTAATTCACTTTGACTTCTCTTTAAGATATTTTTAAAAGTCGTTGGAGTTATTGTGTTCATCGAAGTACTTTTTTTTAAAAGAGAGTTTTGACAAAAATCTTCATTATCTATATTTTTGTTATTTATAGGCTGTTTTCTTTCAATCGAATGTTTTACAGAAGGTACTTTTAAAATATATGAAGATTTTGGTGAACTCGTACTTGAATCTTTCTCCTTTAGATTTTGAGTTGTAAGACTTAATTTAGAATGTTTGGGAGAATGTTTCTTTTCCGATTTGATATCACTACCAGTGATTATGCCTGGTAACATATTTTTCATTATAGGAGTTATTTCAATTTCACTTTCTGATTCAGAAATATTTTCCGTTATTAAAGTAGAACTTGCTTTAGGATTTTGCAATGATTTTGAATTGTGTTGCATTGTCATGCTTCTTCCAATGACACCAGATTCAGTAGTACCTTCTGGATCTAATCTCAGAGCCGCAGAGCATCCTCTAGCCAATGCCATACGTTCTATGGTGCTTAATTTCTTATTGTTATGTTTATTATGAGGTAAAGAATTGTAATATCCAACATCCGCACCGCTATCCCATTCCAAAGGTTTATGAGAAGCGACGCTAGAAGTAGGCGAAAATATCTTCCTTTCGTTACCTTCTAGAAGTACTTCTTGACTTTCGTTTTTGATATCAGAACTTCTTTCAGAAGTTGTAACGTGCTTTAAATCTGGTGATGGAGATTGCGGATTTGTCAGCGGTTGAATATATAGGGTAGAACTTTCAGTGCTGGAAGACTGACCAATTAATGGTGGTCTTACCCATCTACGTCGTTCTCTAGGAACATAAGCTGGTAAATGATATTCTTCTCCAATGCAATCTTGTCTGCTGTTACCTAATTTAGAATTTAATTCATAAACGTCGTAATAATACTTAACAGATTCCGTAGGTATATTCGATGCTGGTAATGAAAAATATTGATCCAAATTAGAACTATGGGAATATTTTTCATAATATTCCATTACTTGTGCGGAAAGACTTTTGTTGGCTGCATCTAGTGATAGGTTTGGTTGCTTTGGTACATCTTTCGAAGAATGGGAGGGTAAAGTTACAGAAAAATGTGACGCTTGACCACCCTTCTTTTGTTGTTGCTCTTTTAATTCTGAAGGTTCCTTCGTTGCTTGTAAATCTCTCAGATGACTTTCGCAACTAGATTCAGAATTATATTCCATATTCAAACGATATACAAACATTCACATTATTAATAACGTTCCTATGTAATGTCATACATAAATAATAAATGATTGTTTTTTTGCATTAAATTCATATACATTTGAACAACAGATTCTGAGTCATACACGATTGCAATTTAAATAAGTTTTTACAAAATGATTTTCTTTTTATTTACCAACGAAGAACAAACTATTTTTATTTCTTTCGATATTCATTAAACATTATCGCACTAAGATGAAATTTGTAAAAGTATACAAAACTTACGAAAAACTATTTATTCTACCTTGTATATATATATATCGTTCAATTAACAAACACTTTTGGCGCCACTTTAACAAATTATACAGTAGATGACTATTTTCGGTTACTTTAAAACTGAAATTGTTGTTTACATTTGCTCTAAATCTCTTTTTACAGCCACAAGATGGCGGTGAATGCTACAAACGATTACTGCACTAATCGATATGGAACAACTATCGAAATTAATTTAAGTCGATTCTAATGTTTCGATTATAGCTTTTGGCGGCCATTCCTTTTTAGAAGTCACGCATAACAGAGCGGAATATGTAGTTTAAGTTGCATAGTAAACATTATAATCTATCCGTTAATTTGTTCACAATATTAAGTTAAATCTGTATGTGAATATTTTTTAGTAGAAGGAAATTAATAAAATTATGTTCGGGATACGACAAGTGGTACGATTAGCAAGAAATATTAGTGCACAAGATTTTGTCAAATTTCGTCATGTATCTGCGTTCTTAAAACCATACTCTACAAATACCTTACAACAAAAAGATGATCATTTAGAAGTCGATAAATCAACTAACGAAACGAAAGATCTTAATAAATCAATTAACGAAAATGACAAACAAAAAAACCAAAAAGTATTAACTAAAATAGAACCAAAGCTTCAAATAATTTTCACTTGTAAAAAATGTAATACACAAAATAATAAAACAATGTCTAAGTTAGCATACCAAAAAGGTGTGGTAATAATACGTTGCGATGGTTGTAAAAATAATCATCTTATAGCTGATAATTTAGGATGGTTTGATGACTCAAAAAAAGGTATGAATATTGAAAAAATCTTGGCACAGAAAGGTGAAACTGTATGTAAGATAAAATACGTACCTGAAGGATTTCTTGTTATTCCAAAAGAAGAAAGAGAAAACTTTGATGAATCTAAAAATGAATTAAGTAGTCAACAAGAAAAAGAGAATTTAGATGAATCCAAAAATGAAATTAATTCGAAACAGATTAAAGATACGTAGAAGTTGGTAATATTAAAAAATTGTATACGATGGGTGAAAATATAAATGTAGACACGTTAAGGCTTTATTATAAATTTATTTTATAATATGTACATCTTCTGTTGTAAGGTAAATTTATAAATTTTTTGTAAATATATATAAATGCGTATATATATATTTAAAATGTTTAAATTTTAATTAACATGTTTGCTATCGCATCATGGAAAAGAGATTCCAACCACAGCCCGAAACTTATTCTTTATGTTGATTATTGTCACAAATGTGTGATGCTGGATTCTCAATGGAACTTGGTGTGACACAGACATGCAACACTTATAGAGAACGTGTTAATATTACAATATCATTCATTTATATTTTTCTTAAAATATTTTAATTACAATGGTCTACAAAGAATATCTTTAATTCTTTAGCATCGTGTTTTATATAATTATATTAAGATCGTGTATATATTAGCAAATTATATTTGCTACTATTTGTAATATTATTTGTTTAAAGAACTATATCTAAAAATTGATAAAATATTTCAAAGCATGGCAGATCTTTACTTGGCACATGAGACGTATATTCATGTAGACACACTTCGCAGACTTATTTCAATTAAAATCTATCGTTTATATTGAAATTGTTCTATGTTAATGTATTTTTAATTAATATAGATACTACGTATAAACTATAGATCTTTGAAGAGGATTATATTGGTTTCTCTATAACATTAGGGATATAAAAATAAGTTAATACATTTTGTTTGAAATATAAATAACATTTTTGAAAATGGATGTAAATTATCATTCGTAACAAATGTAATAAAGATCTTTTTAAAAATCTAAGTACACTAAGGCACACGTTCAAGAAGTTATTACATTTTGATATATAAATTGATAAAAAATTCGAAGAAGTGTACTATAATATATATTTCAAATATAATTATTTCTTTTATAGCATTATTAAAGGCACCATGTCTGAATCAGTTATGCTTTATACAAATAGAAAAAATTCATTATACGTCAACTCTTAAACAAATATTTAAAATAATCTATTCCTATTTTCAAAGTAATTTCTATATGTTGAGAGACAATGGTCAGAAAGACTAGCGTATAAATAATCATTATAGGAATTCTGTAATATCAACATTAATAGTTTGTCTAAACAAATGATTTTTTTAACTTGACATATTAATGATGAATTAATATAAAAAGATTTATGTTCAATATCCATCTTAGTTTTCCTTCTAAAAAGAAAAGGAATGCTTTTGTAATGATTGTATAGACTAGCATATGTCTTATCTTATTTCAAATATTTAAAAAAAAAATATAAATTGTGACAACTTTACATTAATTCATTCGCTTATTTCATGTTTTATATTAGAGGGAAGAAAATTTTTGGAGGTTTTACACCCTTTTTGGTTTCGATACAATTGCATATTCACCATCATTGTAAACTTTAGGCTTTGGTCCCATATTCGCATTAATGGAAGTCGATTCAATTGGAATCTTTTTTCGAATAACAGCATATCCAAGATGACTGTCATCCGCTAATCTAACAGAAGAAATATCTTCAACGATGTCATAATTGGACCAAGTTGCATTAGAATCAGCTGTAGGATTTGATATCGTAGATTGAGCCGTATTATGCGTACTCTGAGTACTTGAAGATACGGTTGAAATTTTGTGCGTAGATATTGGAATAAGTTTAGATGCTGAACCAAAATTTTGCAATTCGTCGTAGTCGGACGTATCAGGGGTTTTACAAGATGTATAAAACATAGATGACGAAATACTAATTACTTCACTGGCATTGTTTTTATTTTTGGATAAATTTTGAGATGTGGTAACGGGCATCATTGTCTCATATTGACTATCCTCATTATTTTCTTTATCCGTATTATTTCTTATTAAAGAAGGATTATATTTTTCCGTGTGATGTACGTTGTCTGTACCATGAGTCTTCCAAGCATCATTTCTAACTTCTACTAAATCATAGGAATGTTTTTCTTCTTCTAGTATAGAACTATTAACACTTTTTTGCGACAATTCTGGGGAATTAGTATTACTGAAAGTTTTCTGTTCACTAGAACTAGGAGAATCAATATTATCCGAGTCGATATTTTTTTTATCTAATAAACCAGTAAATATATTTTTGCGTGGCGGTTTAGCAGGCTTTGGTCTGACGATGGGTGGAGAAGGTTTTGAAGCGGTAGTTGAATCTGAGCCAGAAGATGAATTTAATTGTTTCTGCGTATTAGGAGTTATAGCAGCAAAATCTATATCTATTAAATTTGCAGAGCTGTTAGGAGAAGGTGGCAGTGGGGATCTGGAGCCAGCTTCCATAGACAAGGCAGCATGATATTGAGTGTCGTTGCACTCTATGCTCGGGCTATTGTCTCCGTTTAATAATTTTTTCATAGATTTCATCTTTAAATACATGCAACGAAATATTTCTTGCTGGCTACCATGCTCCAAACAAAAGGAGCCTTCTCCCGATTCGCATTTTCTCCCAGCTTCAAAGGTAAACTTTCCATCTTTATATCCATATCTTCTAATATATCTGTAAGGCCATGTGAATAAAACTATATCCCCGTCCATCAATTTAATATCAACAGCGGCGACTACCAAGGTATAAGTTCTTGTCTCTAAACCGCAACGTTTAGATGCATCTGTCTCTACTACTTTCACAGAAAATACTCTTTCGCCACTGGTGCAATATAAGTCTGAATTCTCTTCTATTGTTTGCTTCGACAACTTATCTTTAAATGCAACTAATTGGAATGCGCTGATCCAGCTATACATATCTGCTACGGAACAACATCCAAAGTAATGTACGCCTGATTTCGTAACCACCTAAGAATTAAAACATATATTATTACTATCAATCGCATAAAGTTAAAAAGAAAATCAAAGCTATATAAGAATCGATACTTGCAGTAAATACATGGGAATGATTACTCGGGGCAATTTTAACGCAAGCTTCCAGAGTAACAATCCGAGGTGAATGTAATTGCAATATAGCTTCTTCATGATTATCATAGATCTCTAACCGTTCAATTCCATAATTACTTGCCTTGAAGAGCTGACAAAATCTTTTGTGCCATGATTTCTACAAAGTAACAAAGTTACATCGGTCAACCTACTCTGAACAATAATAATTTAACTAAATAAAAAAAAAAAAGGAAAAGTATCATGGATGGCACATAAGAAGAAGGAAGAACAATTCATTACAAAGTGAGGATAATAATAATAATAATAATAATAATGATAATATACAGTTATTCCCCAAAGTTACATATCCAGATACAAGGTTATTGTATCTCAACAAATTGGAATGTTAAATCCTACAAAAGTAAATCCAACTAGGCATAGATTTCATCGTGCTGGTAATCAACCAAGTAACCAACCTTGAGTTGTCCTAGCATTCCTTGCGGCGGTAGAAGAAGAATTCCCTGTATCAAAGGTACCTCGGGCTCCATTGCTTAGATCGATAAAGCATCGATCGACGATTTTTTCGATTAACTTCTTGGTCGATCAAAGAAAAATTGGGTATCAAAATAACGACCCTTTTTACTTCGTTTTGATTATCACCAATGAAAATATCTATTTTGTTACTTTCACTCTGTGCAGAAGAACAGTACGCCTTTTCTTTTCTTCCTCTCACCGCGAGGAGATATCCCCTTATGCTCAAACACGTCTTCCTATCGTTTAATCTGACAGTCTGGTAAATGCTATCGCTACTTTGGATGACACTCAACCCATCATAACGACGCGTGGTGCTTGACATCTCACGAAAGAACGTTTCTATTTTCTTTATTCGATATCGCACTACGACCTCACACAATTTGCGATCCGAAAGCGCCTTTCCGCGTACCCGAGAGTGCGTGCGCGCGCGCGTTTACTATTTCATCGTTCAACATGGAAGAGAAAAAGAGAGAGAGAGAGAGAGAGAGAGAGAGAGAGAGAGAGAAGAAGATAGAACGAGAAGAAAGGAGAGGGAAAGAGAGGATGGAAAAACTAGAAGAGAGAGAAAGAGAGAAAATGATGAGCGAGCGAGTGAGAGGAGAGCAGTGCTGAAGAACGAAAACTACCACATGTTTAACTAATGTGTTCATGAGATGTATGACGGTAACGTATGTGCATACAAACAACATAGGATCATGCATGATCTCTCCACATCGCATTCCGAATCAACGTCGTCCAAGCATCGAGCAGACGACTATCTCTCTCTCTCTCTCTCTCTCTCTCTTTTTTTCTTTCTATCTCTTTTTCTCTCTTTTTCTATCTCTCTTTCTCTTTCCTTCTTTTTGGTTCTCTGGTTCGTGCACGTCTCGGTGCCTTAACGATGACGACCGAATTATCACGAATGCGAAACCGTTAAAGGAGGAACGAATATGTTACTTTTTTCAAAAAATCATCTCTTATTTTTGTTTAATATATATTTATTATTATTTTATATCACATATTATTCTCGTATGTGTGTATATAATTTTGTATTAAATAATCATTTATTCTGTTAATGGTCTCTCTGGCGGTATCCTTAAAAGCGTATGTTGGAAAGTAGTAAAGAATGTAGTCGACGGAAGCGGTCTTTCTTATCGTACTGCTTGATCGTACGGAAGTGGTGCACCGTCGTGCCACATATACTATACATTGAAAATAAATATTTTATCTTTTTAATATTCTTTTTTTTCTAATTTCTATTTTTTATTTTTCTTATCACAGACTTGTTTTATCGTCTATATTTAATATATTATATATTGTTTATCTCTATTTAATTTTTATGTAAATAAATACATCGTATAATTCAGAAAGGGAGAGAGATGAATAATTTTGAGAGACACCCTGTATAGGGAAAAATGTTTCTTTACGAAGGACAGAAGGTCTACAAAATGTTATCTATATGCAATTAACGATATCGAATCGGTAGTTTCAATTTCCTCAAACAGAATGACCACGTTTATGGAATAAGTTAAAAGTCTATGTGTATATTTCTTTCTTTCTCTCTCTCTCTCTCTCTCTTGGTGGGGTGTATCAACTGATTGTAGGTGTAGTATAACTGGATCAATGATGCATCTTATTTCAATTTCCACGAAAGATTCGATCGTTTCTTAATAATTGATTGAGAGAACGAACGATCGACCTTTCCGTCGAATTCGTTGTAGAAACAAACGTTGCTCGTGAAAAAGAAAAAGGGATTATATCACGCCCTATCGTTATTACGTTTGGTTCTGATCAAACCACCATCGCGATATAATGGCTGAAAGAAAGTAATGAACTTTTTTATTATTCATTAATGTCTCTCCCGAGTATGTATATATACATATATATAGTATGTACACGTAGAAAGTGGATATATATCGGTGAGATCGCATATCAAGTTCATCGATAGTAATGACTTCCTTCCTTTTCTTCCTTTTATTGAGCATCACCGTCTTGCTGCTATTCACTGATGCTTCTTCGGATATTTTGCCTTTGTCTAGACTTAGGAATGCCACTATGGGTACGTCTATCTTCTCTTTCTTTATTTGTCTTTTTATTTTTAATATAGAAACTTTTGTGTCTATTTTGTATATCATAGTTATTCACGTGTAATTGATTTTTTATCTCATTATTATTAAATTTAATTTCTTTTCTTATTTTTTTTTGTTTAGTATTATCATATAATATTAGTTCTCGTATATCAGAATGATTCATTTGTAATTGATTGTATTTAATTATCATCGAAGGTAACTTGTTTTATCTTCGTTTTTTTTTCTTCTTTCTTTCTTTATCGTTGTATTTTCTCGTGCATCATAACTATTAGCGTATAATTGATTTTATATGATTATTTTTAAATCTAACTCATTCTTTATTTATCTTCATTTCCTTTTTTTTTTTTCTTGCTTCCTTATCATAGTAAATATCTTGTGCATCATAGTTATTTACGAGTAAAATTGATCGTATTCAATTATTGAATATTATGTTGTTATAAGTAGCTGTCGTCATTGACAAAGGATTTTTCACGGGAAAAAACTTGGATTATCGGAAAGCACGTACGATTATCTTAGATTCGATTAACGAAATTGCAAATAAAGATATGCACGTGGGTTATATAATTGTACGGGCATTGCAGGACACGAACGTTGATCTTCGCAAAGGTAAGATGTTCGTTAAAATTAGATAAATTATTTGTACCATCATTGAGAGAGAGAGAGAGAGAGAGAGAGATTGTGTTACGATTTTACAGATTACACGGTACTGCTGTCGATTGCGACATGTGATAAAACGTGGCATTTACATGAATCAGCACGACAATCTGGAATTGTACATCTCGCGATAACAGGTAAATATAGTGATATTTAGAGAAAATGATAAATAATCAGGATAATTTTTTTTTTTTAACGTTAGATCGAATAATTTTTTTCTTAAAATAGACCAACAATTAATCTTAATTATTATTTTAGATCCTAACTGTCCACGAGTTCGAATAACCAATGGTATAAGCGTCCCGTTGATTGTTCCTGGTGAAGAATTGCCACAAATTTTTTTAGATCTTCGTACTGCTCACGCATTGTCTTGGAAAAACGTTATCATTTTACACGATGACTCTTTTGGTAATCGATAAAGAAAAACGTACAATTTTAATTTAATTTTATTTTTATTCCCCTTTTTTCAGTCCACTCGAGGATATGAAGGATATGTGGCAACTTCTTTGTTCCTTTTTTTTTTATGTTGTTTTAGAAAAAGAAAAAATAGATCACGTAATTCGAGCCATAACGGGTGATCTACCGAATACGAAGTTGAACACTATTTCCAAGTCGATATTTTCCTTTAAACATTTTACTTCTGAGTGGGTCAGGAGACAACATATAAGGGGTATACTTGGTAACTTTCACATACAACAACTGGGCAATTGTTTCCTTATTATCGTCAACGTCGATACGATCAAAGATGTTATGAAAGTTGTAAGATCAACGTGTTAATTTTATTCTAATTAATTTATTCGATTTCGTATAATGTATGTAGTGAACATTTTTGGTAATCCTAAACCGTTAGATTGGCAGTGCATATATTTATGTTTATGTATATATATATATATATATTTTTTTTTATTTTGAAAGGCTAAATCATTAAAACTGGTTCATTCCGGTAATCAATGGTTGTACGTACTCACAGATGCCGAAAAAAGAAATAAGACGAATGTAACATATCTTGCAGATTTATTGCCAGAGGGTGGAAACGTTGCTCTTATTTATAATATCACTAAATCTGATGGTACCTGCAATGTAATCCTTTTGATTAATATAAATATTATTTAAAAAATATAATTTTGAGATGAATAAGTCTCGATTAACAAGAAATTTTATATTCTTTAGGTCGATCTTCTCTGTCATGTCAACGATTTTGTTCGATATTTTGCGAATGCTTTGAAAAATTCATTCCAAATGAAGAATGATTTGTCCGAGAACATCACCGATATGGAACATGAAATTTTCAGACCAACCAAATTTCAAATACATCGACACATTCTCAAGTATATTGATGTAAGGATTATTATTATTGAGAATTGTTTTCGTTAATGAGTTTAATAATTAACAGAAATGTTTTCTTTTGTATTTTTCAGGCGCAATTTTTAGAAAAGTCACACGTATCTGATAGAAAATGCGGGGATTGTTTGGTTTGGAAAATTTCTTCGGCTATTACTTGGGGAACTTATTTCCTTCATTATAGAAAGGCTGCTATTCTTATAGAATCGGGCACTTGGATGCCAAAACGTGGTGTTAATTTGTCTGACGTAATATTCCCTCACGTTGAGCATGGATTTAGGGGTATAAGTTTACCAATAGTGACTTTTCACGTGAGTAAACTTTGATATAATCAAAAACATATTTAACTTCATTAATATCGTTTTTTTGTTTCTTTTAGAATCCACCGTGGCAAATGGTAAACGCGGTGAAGAACAACAGGTTGATTTATGGTGGATTAGTATTCGACGTGATCAAATATCTGAGTAAAAAATTAAATTTTACATACGCGGTTATTGTTCCGAAAATTGGAAATAACACGAAAGCTCGTGGTTCTACTAAAACGTTAAAAGTTGGAGAGGTCAGTTTTTTCATGTTGATTAATTTTTAATTCTGACAGAAAATGTAAATCAATGGAAGAATTTGGAAGAATGTTACGTATTCTAGGGTATACCACATGATATTCAATTTTTGTATAATAGAAGAAGGGTCTATGTTGCATTAGCAATGATTTCACTTGTCATAACTTTTTCTGGTTCTCTTATAAAGTTTGCATTATATAACGCAGCCTCCTTTTTCCAGACACGTTTAATTATTACTCCCATCAGTAAGAAACTTCTTCTAAAGCCCCTGATAATAGACAATAAGAATTTTTTAATACTCGTATGAACGGGTTGCCTATTTAAGGGGGCATCGACAAAAATTTCTTACCGATAAGTGATATTTGCAACCATCATTACCGACCATGTATGATGTGAAATCTATATCTAGGCGCACTATTTAAATTTAAAATTAAATTAAAATCTAATATATATACAACGTATACAAATTTGTAGAGACCGTACGGAACTTTGACATCAGCAACGAGAAAATTACCGGAAGAGGTGTTAGAAATGGTTCGAACAAGAAAAGTATTTCTCGCTGCTTGCGCCTATACAGTCAATGATCTTGAGAAGAATGCCATTAATTTCACAACACCTATCTTCGTTCAAACTTATAGCTTCTTAACGTCAAGACCGACACAATTGTCGAGAGCTTTGCTCTTTACTTCGCCATTCACCAAAGAGGTATATACGATTTAACGATAGTGTTCATCATTCATACCAAAGTTCAATTAAGTAACTTCGAGAAAACTTACTTTACTTGTCTTACCTAAATACAGTGAAACTTAATGTTGAAATAGACGTTTACGTTAAAACTATCGAATTTCTGACTGGTCAAATTACCAAAGTTAAACCAATAAAGTTTTGACGTTGTATCTTTTGAATTTACGCATGTTATACCATTCACGGTTGTTCGTCTTCTCTTTCAGACCTGGGCATGTCTGGCCGCAGCTATTATTATAATGGGTCCAATCTTATACCTGGTTCACAAGTACAGTCCAAGTAGTACGAAAACATCCGGCTTGAATTCATCTTGGCAATGTGTCTGGTATGTCTATGGTGCGCTTCTTCAGCAAGGTAATTATTCATCTTCTTCTTCTTCTTTCATTTATTATCTTTAATATAATTGAAAAGAAAAAAAAAAAGAATTCTTCTTTTCTTTTTTATTTTCATTTAATCAGAAACAAATGGAAATAAAAATTCGTGATTAATATATTAACAATTTAATAATAATTATTGATATATTACAATAAATCTTAGACATATTTTCATGCACCATACATAGAAGGATTGGTTGCTAATATTATATAGTTTCGATTTTAGGAGGAATGTATTTGCCTAAATCAGATAGCGCGCGCATATTGGTGGGTATTTGGTGGTTGGTCGTAACAGTTCTTGTAGCAACTTACTCCGGAAGCTTAATTGCATTTCTGACATTCCCGAAAATGGACGACCCAATTTTAACGGTAGACGATCTTCTCGTACACAAGGATAGATTAACATGGGGTTTCCCGAATGGTAGCTTTCTCGAGGAATATTTACAAAATTCGGAAAACGAACAATATCGTTTGTTACTTTCTCGTTCAGAAAGGCATAACGATACGGAGGAGACAGATATTATTAGACGAGTTAAAGAAGGCAAACACGTTTTTATTGATTGGAGAAGTTCCTTGCGGTACATATATATATATCTATCTATTTGAAAATTTTATTCGCGTTCAAATAAATAATAATTATTTTCTAACGATAGGTTTTTAATGAGAAAGGATTTGTTATCCAGCGGTGTTTGTCATTTTTCTTTGAGTACCGAAGAGTTCATGGCTGAACCTATTGCGATGATCGTTCCTAACAACAGTCCTTATTTGTCGATCATAAACAGCGAGTAAGAGAGATTTTACAATTTTTTCAAATAAAATAAAAAGAAAAATAAGCAACATCTTTTGAATAAGTTTTATTGCGATAGAAATAATTTGTTTTTCTCTTTTCTTGTTTTATATTAAAGATTGCACCGTATGTACGAATCCGGTTTAATAAATAAATGGATATCGGAAAAAATGCCTACGAAGGATAAATGTTGGGTAGGTGCAAATTCTAACGAAATCGTGGACAAACGTAAGGTCAACGTGGCCGATATGCAAGGAATATTTTTCGTACTTTTCATAGGTAATATGATAATAATTATGAAAGATTAGCGATTAAATAAAAATATAATGTGTGCAATAGAATATGAGAAAAAAGAAAAAAGAAAAAAAAAAACAACAACAACAACAACAATAAATTAAATTAATTTTCAACAGGAATAGTTTTAGCGATCATATTTCTCTGCTGGGAATTTTATTGGCATAGACGTAAAGTATTGAAGCAACGTAAATTGATCCAACCGTTTGTATCCTAAATAGAATTTTTTCTTAAAGGAATACACACACGTGTCTCTACGTAAGATCATTATAATTGTTATAATCTTAACGTTCTTACAATAATATTAATAATAATAATAATAATAATAATAATAATAATATAGAGGAGAATAAACTAGAATTATTCTTGCAACAATGTTTAGAAACGAAGTCTTACAATTAGAGAAATATCGGTTTACCGGTCTTTATTGTTTTATGGTTAAACGGAAACCAGACTTCTTGAGTTTAGGTTTGCAACTCTTATGGTTGCTCAAGTCCAAGTTGATTATCCTAGGATTTCGACGATGGATCGGCGGAAATGGTCGGCAAACGGAAAAGGTCCTGCACGCGCGTAATATTATTATACCGTGTGATGGGGAATTGCAAGTGCGAGTTAATTATCGCACGTGAGGCCCCTCACTGTCGATCCTCTCAATGTATTTAGCAACGATTTGTGTGATGGTGGTGCTTACCTGGTAAGCAAGGTAAAAGTCATGAAATTACATAACGTATTTGCTGTGGATATATCCTTTTCTTCTTCTTCTTCTTCTTCCTCTTCTTCTTCTTCTTGTTCTTCTTGTTCTTCTTCTTCTTTTTCAAACTGTCTTCCTCGAAAACCGGGTTTTCGCATGGCGTGTTTTTTCAACCGCTTACGTTAGAAACGCGCAATCAACGAAATTTATAACTATATAATACGCAGTAAGGTATCGTTGAAAAGCAGGATATTGCATTTCTGTAATACTCAAAAAACATTACGCAAAGGGGGAAAAAAAAAAGCTCAAACGTAATAGGCTCTTCCTACGTTTAGAGAGAAGTTAAACGACACGTTTTGGCACGGTAAGAGTACAACAACTAACTATGTAATAGCGAATAACGAGATATTATAAAAGATCACTGGAAAAACTTGTTTCGTACATTTACTATAACTATATGATGGATCTTCGTGTTAAAAGGAAAAAAACATAATTGTCTTAAGAAACGAACGAATTATATCTAATAAACTTACGCGCGTATCCAAAAAATTTCTTATCACTTTTCGAGAAAAAATAAAACCACCTATAAATATATTCAAATGAATTTTATCTTTCGAGGAATAAAAAAAAACACACACACAAACGTAAAAATAAAGAATGGAAAGTAAAAAGGAAAAAAAGGGAAAACAAGAAGGGTACACAATTAGGTTTATGTCAAAAAGCTAGGAAAAAGATCGAACGTTGGTAGGTGGGAAAGCGATAGGAGGAGGAACGGCAGGATGCGGGGTTGTCCACCTGATGACCTTGCCGTTGAAAAAATCCTGGAATGGCCGGCAGCGAGCTCGGAACTGGCGGTGTGAGCCATCTGCGAGCCAGTTCAGTCGTAGAACCCGCGAGACTAGGACTAATCCTAATAAACGCCGACGTCGTCACTGAACTCGGATAAACGAGCACACGACGAGTTCTTAACTATACTTTTGCAGTCTTATAGTCTTTCAGTTAATCGAGAAATTACGGTTCGATGAGTCGTTTGCCGATCCCCATGAGGTGAGATCAACTCTTACGAATACCGAGAGAAAGAAAGAGAGAGAGAGAGAGAGAGAGAACCAGATCCAAAGTTGAAGAAGAACGTCACGTGAGAGTAAAACGAGAAATAAAAAGAAATGGGACTAACACCGATCTGTATCTTATTATTGCAACGTAAGTATTATGCTTTTTATTATTTTTTCTTTTTCATTTACATATACCGTGATTCTTATTTTTACGAGATGTGTGTTTTTATTTTTTTGTTCGTTTGATATTTTAACGCCTGTTATTCTTTGATTTCCTTCTTGATGTTTTTTTTTTTTTTTTTTTTTTTTTTTTTTTTTGTTATTCTTTAGCTCGTGGCATTTATGGACAATAATTGTTGGTTGATTCAAAATGTTAATAAGAAATGATATATTGAATAATAGTATTAAAATAATTGCAAATACTTTGACATAGATTTTCTTAAATATTAATATTTAGTAATATAAATATATTATTAGAGATAATTTTGTGTATCTTTTTTTGTTCTTTTTTATTATCAGTGTCATCCGGTATCGCACACTCGTATCAAGAAACAGATTTCGATGGTTGGTATCAACCGGTTGCACGTCGACCAGTCGACGTTGTTACCGATATTGTCAACGATCTGGGGGTGAGGATACTTCAACAATACAATAATATTGGAAATGTTGCATTTTCACCGATCGGAGTTGCATTCGTTCTTGCTGCACTTTACGAAGGATCGGCTGGCGGTGGAAGTCGTCAGATAACAGATGCATTGGCTCTGCCACACGATCGAGATATCACAAGAATTGGTTTTCGTGATATTCATCGTCGACTAAGAGTAAGAATTCTAATGATTTGCAATGTTGCGTAAATAATAATTTTCGATATAGATCGTGGCTCGTTTCGCGACATTAGTTTTCTTTCCCCCCCCCTTTTTTTTTTATCGTTTAGTTTATAATGTTCTTTTTTTTTTTATCGAGGTTACGAAATTTCTTCGAAAGAAACGTCGTCAAGTCGTGTGTATTTTGCTGCTTCAATGAATTAATTATTTTTCTTGTTTTTTCTTTTTCTCTTCTTCAAGACTTACCTGAACGCCGACGGTTTTTTGGGTGGTTTAACGTTAAACAAAGAAAATACGAAACTTCGAACAGAATACGAAGATATCTTACGATTTTACGGATTCAATTTATCCGACACAGATGATAAAGAATTAAACGATACGACGACAACGTTTGCACCAATTACCGAATCTACAAATGCACCTATCACCGAATCAGAGGATTCGACTAAACCAACAACAATTATAATCGACGTTAGTCAACCCTCAGTTTCCCCTACAGTTATCACAGAGTCTACAGAGTTACCCGTAACTTCAACGATATCTCCTATGACCGAAACATTTGGAACTACGATCGATGAGAAAATGGTATCGGACAGTCTAACGCAATTATCTAATATTACTACTACTACGATTTCCAACGTGACCGAGGCTAATACCTTTCCAACAACTGCATCCGACGTTAATATGGAAACTATGTCTCCAAATTCGCCAGTTTCTACACAAATGCCGGCTGTTACAATGCCGTCGGAGACAATGCAAAGTACAAAGATGGTCGGCCAAACAACTATCGGAGCTACTAGTACAATCATATCGAATATTCCTGATACAACTACAACGATGACGACGACGACAATGATGATAGGTGACTCTCAGACAACGGTTAACACTGCTACTACGAATTCAATGGAAAATGTGGGAAACACGATGACGCCAACGAGTACGTTAACTGTTACTACGATAATTGCACCAGTAACATCTTTGGATATGCAAGGTAGTTCAATGGATTCGACCGGTGGTCAGACCGAGGCAATGACCTTGCCTATGGATATATCGTCGACACCGATCCAAACTAACATAACAACGACTTCGGTTTCCGACTTAACGGCAAGCATGCCGAGTAATCTCGAGGTCGTAACTCCCACCGAGGAAAGTACCGTTTCGACAAATCAGCCGACAACGGGTGGACCAATTACCATGCTCGGTATTGTGGACCTTGGAACTACGAATTCTATGATGAACCAGGATGGACAACAAGGTACTACCACTGTTCCAGTTACCTTACCAGATGCCTCGGGGAATCGGCTTCGCAAACGAAATACTAGAAATTCCCGAGGCTACTTCTCCAGTTATCCAGGTATTGTTATTATTAATTATTTATTATAGATTATAACGTACGATCACATGATGATCATTAATCTTATTCCAATTTGTTTTTTTATCAGACGAGGGTATTTGGATGCAGGATCTTGGCATTTGGAAAACCAATCCGATCGTCAAAAACGAAGCTTCCGTTAGGGATTCCACCGAAATATCATTTCTGGTGAACGGTTGCGACGTGTCCTCGGTAATGGCCACCAGATACGTTGCGGTTCTACCTTTTGCGTACTTTCCATCGTTGCAAGCTGTTGCTGTTGAATTTCCCTTGGACGTAAGCCGCAAAATTGTTTTTTCAAACAAATACGAATGTACGAATTCAATTATACAGGATAGTATTGTGGCTGTGCTTAAGTGTCTCGTTGAAGTATCTCCTTTTTTTTGTTTTTGTTTTCAAAAAATGAAATGCTTAACTCATTGGATGATTGGATACACATCGTGTTTTTTACTTTTAAATTGAAGGGACTAAGAAGAACGCGTATTTGAAAAAGATTATTATAAGCTTTCTTCCTGTTGTGGTTTGTCTCATGGAACACGATGAAAGATTCTTCTTCTTCTTTTTGCTCAAGGATCCGAGATACAACATTCTTCTTCTTATGCCAACGGATAGAACAGATACGCATCGTCTTGCGAGAAATCTCGGCGGGAAGTCATTGAGATGGTTACGGAAGCAATTGCAACCAGCTTGGGTCAGGGCCACCATACCTTCCTTCATGCTACGGGGTTTTGTCACCCTTACGCCTTTCCTTCAAAGAGTGAGTAATCAATTATCCTTTTTTTTTTTATTTCTACTTTTTTTTCACACACATTCTTCATCCCAATGTCGTTTAAAACGTCTCGGTGGTCATTGTAGCGTGTTCCAAAAAAAAAAGAACAATAATAAAAAAACCTATACAAGACAATTTCAAAAGCGATTATTATTTCTATCTTCCGGGTTAGGTTGCTCGATATTGCATCATTAGTCTCGGACATTAAATTTCTAATTACTTGATCGCGTTAATTCGTTTAAAAATCTTCATTCTATATACCTTTTCTGCGAAAAAAAAAATCAAAAGTCATTATTTCTCTCGGAATCATTTAGCGCTCGTTTCTACGATGTCGTACGAAATATTTGCTTGGTTTTTTCTTTTTTTTTTTTCATTTTCTCTCTCTGTTTTTCTTTCTCTTTCATTCGACTTATAGTTAGATTTTATTATTTGTCAGATATAGAAAATTGATTCTGAACGTTTCTTTGTGTTTTATTATGATAGCTTGGAATAACAGATGTTTTCGAGCCAAGAGTAGCCGACTTGTCACCGATGACTCCGGATTTGGGTGTCTACGTTAGAGACGTTCAACAAAGCATAGGTGTTAATATAAGGAATTACATGAAACCGGACAGGACCCACTCTCGTGAGTCAACTAATATCGAATCAACGATTCTTCCTTCCATCGTACAACCTCGTCGGGATTCTTACCGTTTCCTACTTCATTCAGGTTTTATTCTATGCTTTGTACATACTGTTGCACACTATCTTCCTAACATATATATATTTTTTTTTCTTTTTAACTTATCAACCTTGACCGTTTCTTTTCGAAACACTTTTTTTCTCTTTCGGTCTGATTTTTTCCAATTCGAAAATTTATTCAACGAACGAGATTTTGTTCGTTCATGTAAAATCGCATTGTATAATGTTTATTTTAACATTCGTGATACGAACAACGTACTTACGTTTGTCGGTTGACAAGTATTCTAAAAGAAAAAACGTTGAATGGCCAGGGGAGGGGAGGCAGGTGAATGATTACGTTGCAACAATTTGTCGCAACCAGAGAGTAAAATTGCAATTTGTTTCGCCTTTGCTCGTTGTTCCTATCGGAAAGATCTCGTATGACAATTTGTAAATGACAAACCTTCCTACGTCATTCCCTTCTCTCCGACACGTACGTAAGGTTCGACAATGGCCGGTTATTACTACTGGCGCGTTGCCCGATTGTTGGTTTTTTTTTTCCTTTTTTTTTTGCTTTTCATTCTACCTTCGTTTTCTTTATTGACTCCTCCCCCAACTCTCCCCTCTCTAACGTTAGAAAAATAGGTGCGTTATTATCGTCGTTAACGATGGTAAAAGATTTGTTAAACCACATTACCGAAACGCATTATGCGTTTCTTTGAAATTACGTGCTACGATTCTTGGTTTTTTTTTTTTTTGAAAGTTAACATTACGAAGGTAAAAATGTTAAAGTAGTTCGTATCAAATTATAATATTCGTGTGTTATTTAGTTAAATTTTACTTTGAAATAATAATTCGAGTTTCTCTTACCGATCAATTTCTTTTTTTTTTTTTTTAATCGTGTCATTTGAAATATTATTAAGCGTACGATCATCTGTAATTTTCAAATGAAGCATTTTATTTAGCATTTATTATAATTACTTGTAACGTTGAGCTCAGGGTTTGAGTGAGATTTAGTAGAGAGTATCGTTTACTATAGAGAATATTTCTCAGTATTGTTGTAAAGTTCGTTTAATTTAATAGCTGATATCCTGGGTGAGTCAGAAAAAAGAAACGAAGTAAAAGACCTTGCGCGAAATCTTTTCGTAATTTAACATTTTTATTATTATTATTATTATTATATTTTACCTGTTGGTTATCGACAATTTATATAGTTCTTTTAATATGTATGTGTTTGTGCATTTGATTTGTTAATTACCTTATCCTTGCTGCATCTGTACACTTATTATTAGAATTTTTTTTTTTAAACTAATAGCATGATAATTTTATTAATATAAAACGAGAATTATTGTTTAAAAAATGTTTTATTTATGAGTATATTTTTGTATATTAATTTGTTCACATGTAAAAGATGAGTATATCTTTTAATAATTATCTTATTACACGAGTTTTTTTCCTGAATAGCAAATACTTTTTTTTACGTGCAATAATATACTCGTAAGTTCTATATTTGTTTAACATAATTCTTGTATTTATATTTTAATAACGTTGAAATAATAAAATATAATATCATTTGTAGGAAATGGTTTATTCGAACGTGCCGGACCAGTGCCTTTCACAGTCGTTCATCCGTTTCTTTATTTTATCATCGATACTGAAACATCGGTAACATTGATTGCCGGTAAAGTGGATGATCCTCTTAATTCAAGAATCATTTAGAATTAACATCGATAATTAATTAATTAATTTCAACGGGAATTAGATACGATGATCATTCGATAATGATTAAACGAGTATGTTCGAGTAAATGAACAAACGAAATGAAATGAAAAACTTTCCAAAGTAATAATAAACGTATATTTATTTGACGACTCTTATAAATAATTACAAACTTATAAACAAGTATACATATATATATTTATATATATATATATATATTTATTTACTTAAGTTTCCTTTTTCTCTATTTCGCACACATACCTTTTTTTAGTCTACAATTGTTCACTGTGCGCTGTACAAGTTTACCTGTTTGTCAAGAAGAAGAAGAAAAAAAAGAAGAAGAAAGAGGAGAAGAAGAAGAAGAAGGACGAATCGAAAATCGAACAAAAGAAAGTAAGAACATTGACAATAATTATTATCGTTAATAAAATGTCGTAAAGAACGGGGCAAGATATCTCAGCTTTTTTCGTTGATTCAAATACGAAATAATAATCGACATATTGCAGATAATCTTAAGAGACAACAACGAGTTATAGATAAAATAACGATAATAATTCAATCGAAATATAATAATAATTCAGGATTTTTTCATTCGATCCATATTAATTTTCTTACAAAGATTACAAATATTATCATATTTTTCTATCGTACGCGAAAAGTTTTGAATCCATTCGTTTGTTCGATGATTCGTTTAACACAGGACACGTTTAATTATTTTATTTCTTATCGTCTAAAAAATATATTATCATCTTAATCGTATAAATACAGTTCTATCACGAGCGCGAATAAAGCGCGGGGACGTTCCTTTCGTTCCTGACACCGAACTTGCAGCTCGTATTTTACTTTCTTGTCATTTTCAATTAAAAGGACAACGTCATAAAAAAACAACGACACGATCATTGATAAAACTCGATCATCTTGTGCAACGTGCAACGACGTACATTTTTCTCATGATGATGTTTTATCCTTTAAACAACATTTTTTTCGTATACGAATATAAACGATTTCCTAATAGCAAAATCAATAACATTTTCTTTCTTTTTCAATGTAATAAGATGAGTGACATGTTTTTTGCTCAATATCCTCCCCCCCCCCCTATCCCCGCCTACCACGATAGAAAGGATAACGTGTTAATTGATATTTGCATTTCGCGAGCATCATCATCATCATCATCATCATCATCATTATCATCATCATTTATCGACGCATCGACGATTAGGAACCGTTGACGAAGATTTGTCTTTGAAATAAAAAACAAAATAAATCGACGTCCGTATAAATAAGCCCGAGACGTCATGTCACGTTTTTCAATATCCAAGGTACGAACTTGGATATTCTCGTACATACGCCTGGTAAGTTGGCTTCGGCACATCCTATACCCCAAGATATTATTCCAGCTAGAAAATATCTACCATCTTTTCCGCGTACTTGAAGAGGACCACCCGAGTCGCCCTGTGTGAAAACAAAGAATTTTCTATTTAACATATTTACGAAATTGAGTGACACTTATATTAAACTTATTTCATTCTATCAATCTTTTTTTACAGTCATTCCTGTAATCGAACAGCATACAATTTTTATCTTTCGTTTCTACGATTGGGAATCATTCATTCATATTTTCAATCGTGTATTAACGTTGCTCGATCAATATTTGTGTTTGAATATTAAATTGATAATAATTAAGATCAATATATGAAATTCCAAAAAATTAATTGGATGATCGTTGATAATATTTAATATAATCTTGTAGTCTATTCGACATTTTTTTAAAAATCTAATATTATCATCGAGAAAAAATGTGTATATTTAATAAATTCGTAAAAAAAAATTGGAATGAATATAAAATTACCTGACAAGAATCCTGTCCTCCAGTTTCGTAACCGGCACACAAGAATATGTCCGGTATAAATTCGTGTCTGCCCGCCCTGAGGAACATCGACTTACACCTGTCGTTGCTAACGATCGGCACAGAAACCTGGAATCACAGAAAGCACGTTGACAAATAGGCATAGAGATTAGACGGGAATGTGTTTAGTTGGAAAGGATGAAAGGAGTATAAGAAAAACGACAACCTCTTGAAGCACGGAAGGTAAGGTTCCACCTTCGCTCAATCTTCCCCATCCAGTGACGGTCGCGTTTTCTCCTATAAGAAGATCGTCGGTAGCTGGCAGGCATATTGGCGATATGTGGGGTGCGAAGGTCAATGAACTTTCCAATCTGACCAATGCAAGATCGTACTCGTAAGTAAAGAAATTGTATTTCGGGTGAACCACTTTCTTGGCAACTCCACGTTCGACGTAGGGCAAACGTTCCTGGACCGATGAGAAATCATATTCCCCGACACGTATTCGAATTTGTGATGTCAGCAAGCTAAACAAAAAAGAAAAAACAACACATCACAAACAACTAGTTGTTTCTCTCGTCTAAAAATAAAATTATTAATAAACCCAATATATAAAGGGACGAAACGTTCAACTTATCAAAACGAAGTTCTATTTCTTTTGAATGTCCAAATTCCCTAAGATACCTTTTTATCACAAAAAACATTCATTTAAGCGTAAAAAAAATGATGTTATTCGTGATAAACAAATTTATATCGATCAGAATCATTCGACGGAAATCAGTCGTGTTACGCGCGCGCTTTTTTGACATGAGAATTTATTAAAATTGATTGATAAAAGATAGAATAATGTGTAATCATTTTGTGAATAATAATTATCATAATTCGTACTTACTCGTCGACACAATGACCCGCAGTAGCGATCCAATTTTCATTGAGTACCGCACCGCCGCAACGATGAGTACTTGAAAAACCGAAGAAGGACGTACGCCTAACCGACACCTGCCAAGGCCATCGACCGAACGGTGCATCCTTGCCACCGACGATCCTGGTTTCGGGAAGTGGAAAAAGCGGAGGGACACCGCATTGCGTGCCCTTATTGTCAGCTACCGCTGATACCGTCATCATCGTTCCTGTCTTCGTAATGGCCTCCGGAGTTGTTGATTTTAACATCGATTCCGTAGACTTTGTAGTAGACGTAGTTGCAGTCGTAGTAGATGGTTTTTCCGTAGTAGTCGTAGTTGTACTGGTAGTTGTAGTAGTAGTTGTTGTACTAGTGGTAGTCGTTGTTGTCGTGCTAGTGGTCGACGTTGTGGTCTTCTTCGTCGGTCTCGTTCTCGTTGAGGTCTCAAAGTGGGACGTTGTTATGTAGTGCGCCGAACCCACGGGTTTGTGGTATTCGGTATTCTAAGAGGAATAAGGTGAGCACATAAGTAGTAAGAAGAAGGTTAATTTCGTTTCCGTAAACAAAGTATGGTGGGATAAGGGTAATTACGTTTTTAAAGAACAATCGTTTCTTTTCTTTTTTTTTTTTTCCTACGAAAACGAAGGAAACACAGGTCAAAACGAGAGATTAGTTTTATTTTGTATTAGTATTATTTAAAAATTTGTTTTAATTATTATTCAAACACTCGATCGCGAGATATTAATAAAATCAATATTTGAATAATTAAATAACAAGGATTTTTTGATGACCATGCAAAACGTACTTCTTGTGATTCGGTAGGTTTGAAATTCGCTTGATGAGGAAAACTCTCGGGTCCGTTTTGCATCAAACTAGGATTATCGGTCCAGTGTGGTTTCAATGACGGCCTGGGTGGAGTCCAGCTGTTTTCCGACCAAAAATAAGAGCTAGCACCGAAAGGTCTGGTAGTTTCAAACGTGGTTGACGGTTTTGCCGATGAAGAGAAGGTTGACGAGGTGGTGGAGGTGGAGGCGGGGGAGAAGGAGGACGAGGATGAGGTTGAGGACAACGACGAGGTGGACGAAGACGATGACGAAGGTCTTTGCTTCGTTACAAACGCCGGCTCTGTGGTAACTTGCCAGTGAGAGGTTTGTGGTACGGATCCGGCTGCGCTAGAATGAAAGAAAAGTTTTAAGCGTTGGCTCGGAAACTTTCATCTCCACTCCTAGTACTTTTCTTTTATATCTTGTTAAGCGTAATCGATAATAAATAAAATAGAGATATGGAACGCAACGCGGCGTGTAATTAGAAGCAAAATTCCAACCCGATAAAGATCGATATGAGTTTTTTCAATTCATTTTTCCACATTTTCATAACTTTCCCTCTAGATTCTTCCCGCCCTCCCCCCACCTCCCATTTTTTTTCTTTTTTTTAATTACAACAATATTCGCAAGTTTGATTACTCGACCACGTAGTCGGATACCTGGTTGGTTGACTGTTGAAGTACGTAGGTCTTGGTGATGTGGTTGTTTTTAGGGACACGTCCGAGTTATTGGGTTTCAGAACGAAGCTTGGTCTCGCATCGGTTTGACTGCTCAAAGAAACTGGTCGAAATGTTGTAGTCTTGATTGAGAAATACGGCTTGGAGAAATCCGTCAATGGTTTCAGGGTAGCTGGTTTTGTGGCCCATTGCGGTCGTTCGGTGTGTATGAGATTTATATTGGAATGCTGATTTTTCATGGGTTCCTAATAAGAAATAATAAATTAATATATCTCGTAAATAATATATAAAATACCAATATATATATGCATATACTTGTTTATATTTAATACTAATAAAAATAATAGATATATTTTTTTTTCTTACATTTTCATTAACAGAATTGACGTACGGTCGATGTATCGTTTCCTGCACGCTGAGATCAGCATCCTCAACCTTGTCGTCATCTGGTCTCGACTCCGAGGGTCTTTGGTTGTTCGGCCAGTTAGGCCTCTTCGATTGTCCATCGTTCGACGCATGTTCCTTTCCAGGTAAGCGTATCACGAGTGTATTCGGCGAACTTCCCACTTTATCCTTAAAGCCCTGATAATTTGGGTGTCCTTGAAATTGCAGATCAACTTTATCCTCCGCGTTGACATCTGGCCTGATCTTTTGTTGAGGCAACTGTGATTCATGGAAGTTTGGTTTTTTGGTACCCTGAGAATTGTCGGCCCAATAAGAAGAAGAAGAAGAAGAAGAAGAAGAAGAAGAAGATGAAGAAGAAGAGGATCCAGCCGGTAGAACGGAAGTCTGAAATCTGTCAGTATGTTCGGACGTTGGTTTTGCATGGGGTCTCTTTTGCAAAGGTCGAGCAACGTTACTCGAAGGTGTTTTAAATGGTCTCGGTGAAGCGTGTAGTCCAGTGTGAGAAGATGACTGCTGATGAACTGCACTCGGCCTGGAAGTACTCGAGACCGGGAAGTTGGTATGAGAGGTCAAGGTAAACCTAGTCGTTTCACTTCCCAGTACTTCCGTTAGTACTGGCCTGAGAGTATTCGACTCATGATGAAGATGATGATGGTGATGATGATGATGTTGTTGTTGTTGTTGTTGCAGATCTCCTTGTTCCTCGTGACGATGATCTTGTTCCTGTTGATGCAACTGATGTCCTTGGGAGACTATCGAGTTAACCGTAGAATTGTGTACGCAACAGCTACCGAACATGAATGTGTCGACGCACACACCTACGTGCGTGCCTTCCGATTTGATACACTCCCAGACGAACATGCAAGTACCTTCGTGGCCACCTGGACCGGGCACTTTGCAAGGCTTCGGACTGATCTTGTAGCCTAGGATCAAGCAAGAACTACGATCGCAATCTCGTTCGATCGAGGAAAATCAAAACGTTGGGTGGTTACTCTTTTTTTAGGTTCTCGGTCATGGGTGCAGAACCGTAAAAGTTGATATACCAACCGAGCTATAACTACAAGTAGCTGAACGAGGAGCACCGGTAAGTGCAAGTAATGCATGTAATACGATCGTCGAACGGACATCGTGCGCTCAGGGTCACGATAAAATCTAACGACCGTGGAGATTATATCGGGTGTCTAATGAACGGTTACTTCGCTCTCGCGATAATCTAGCAGGAGTTATACGTTTGGCGCACGACAAGTCTATATATATATATATAAATATATGTGTGTGTATATTACGTCCTAGGCGTGTGTATGCGTGCGTGTATCGTGTGGAAGCAAATCGATGCGTAACACTCCTTCACCTAGCATTTCTACTTCTAGCGGTTTCCTTAATTGAATTTACCTATTAGTCGTTCGGTATTTGTTCGCTCCAACGGACGGGATTATTATTTCGAGAAAAAGACACCTCTCTACGCGCCGGCTTTCGATACTTTTATCATGAAGAATCGCAGAATGCATGCGAGCTACTATTACACCACCACCACTACCATTACCATCATCCAAGTCAAGTTACTCTCGCCGTAGTAAAGGAGACAAGATTTAACGGTTATAAATTTGCCGCGTGTTTCCTCGTATTTAATCATCGATTCCATTGATCTTTGGCGACGCATAACAACAACAAAAAGAAAAGATACAAAAAAACAATTTATTATTATTATTATTTTTCTTTTAACAAACGATAAATACACACCTATACGTTTCACACAGGTGTATCTTTATCTATATTATTTAAATTGTTAATATATTTTTCATTCGATTGATCTTATATATACATATTTATTTCACATAATTTTGAATTTTCAAATTTACATCCACGATTTATTCATTTTCATTCGAATTACGGACGAATGTGAGAGAAACGTTTATTTTTAAAATTATACGAGTTTCAAATGAATTTTATTTTATTCCCGAAAGGAAACCTGTTGTCGGAAATGTCATTAAAGTGCATCGTGGATGAACTCCGTTGTCCCCCTCGATGTCGCGTCTTCGTCTTGCTGCTAGGTGAAAGTGTACCACTTGTCGATAAGCACGCGCACGCTTACCTGCGAGCTTCGGCGAATAACCAAAAGGAAAAAAAATAAAGGAAAGAAAAAAAGAGTAGAGAAAATAAAATGAAAAAAAATATAAAATAAAAAGGAAAAGAAAAAAGAGAGAGATATATATATATAAGAGGCAGAAAATACTTCGAGGTTTTTTAATTGCGGGAATGGAGAGAGAGAGAGAGAGAGAGAGACAGGTACGTATGCGCGTAAACCTGGGCCAGGTCGTTAACCATGTCGTTTCTTCTTCTAGTTACACGTACGCTATGTTGTTACGCGGAAACGTAAATTACTAACGTCTTTTGACACCGCAATGCATTTCTTTTTTCTATTTCTTTTTTTTCCGTTTGTCAAAACTCGTATGCAACGGGTATAGGCAAAAAAATATGAGACGTGATGAAACGTATAGCAAATATTTAATAATTTCAATTAAATTAAGATGTGAAATTTTTTTTGTTAAACTCTATAGTGTTTTCTATCAAAAATTTGCATTCGTATCTAACGAATGTAATATCTTTTAAAAAAAAAAACAAGGTGAAACACTTGTCTTAGATTAACCGTGGAGATTTCGTAATTAAATTAAACTACGTGCCGTGTTAAATGTCGGTTATGAGTTAAATTTTGTTCGTTCTCTGAGAAGGTTCAGGGTGGGGTGGGTTATGAGGAGACAAGGTGGTGGTTAATCGTTACGAATGGTTTTTTCTCGAATAGTTTTTGTTCCAGGTTGTCTTTCTTCGAATCAACAGAAAGTCAGACGACGACGTTTACGTAGTCTCCCTCTCCCTCTCTCTCTCTCTCTCTCTCTCTCTCTCTCTTTCTCTCTTTTTCTTTCATTCGCTTTTCTTTTCTCACGCTCAAACACGGCTGGCTGCACCTTGACCGATTTCTCTTTCCAATTAGGCGTTACACATTTGAGAAAAGGAATCCACCCTTGGGTAAAACGGAGATTGAAGATAATTGAAGGTGAGTATAGACAGAGAAAGGTAGAGAATGAGAATGAGAATGAGAATGAGATTGAGAATGTGAAAGAGAAGTAGAGGAAAAAAGTAGTAATAGTAGTAGTAGTAGTAGTAGTAGTAGTAAAAGACACGGATCTTTTATTTCTGTCAGTAATATAAGCAAGAAGAAGAAGAAGAAAAAAAAATAGAAAATATTCTTTCTCTTTGACACACCAGAGTTAAATGACCATGTAAAATCTTATATCGGCTAATGGGCTTCGATGATCCCAACTCGAAAGTTACACAAACGTTTACCGCCGAGCAAGGAACACCGAAACCATGTGTGTAATACGTTAAAACACCAAAAGGAGTATTACTGACTGTGACCTCGATTCAGCGTGCTGAGAGACCTGGCGATGCCCGACCACCAGAGAATTGTGGCCACGTAACCGATCCACCGCATCCTGATCCCTGAAAACATCAATGTCATTCGTTTTAGTCGAACCATCGCGTCAATGTCTCTCTCTCTCTTTCTCTTTTTATCTCTGACAATGAGATTTATTGTCATTTAATATCGTATCTTTATATCAAGTTGATCAAAGAATAAAGTATTATATATATATATATATATATATTTTTAATTCAAAGTAATTTATAAATTACAATTTAATAGTTATTCAT